TCCTTTCAAGTCAGCTTGGAACTTGGAACACTCAACCTAGAACCCCAACATAGCTGACATAGCTATTCTTAGTGTGAATATACATAAAACCAATGTATGTATATATGTATATTTGTATATATATATAATAATATATATATAATAATATATATATATATATATGTATATATATATATGAAGCCTTCTGGATGTTTTTCTGAGGCAACCTCCCCAGCGGTGGCTGCTGCAGCCCAGCTGGGAGTGGGCAAGCTGCTCAGCCCGGCGGAGACAGTTCTGGTGCTTTGGACGCAACGGGCTCCACAGTGATGGCTTGAAAAAACACAAGGCACCCCAAGCCATGCCGAAAATACCTTGGATATATATATATATATATGGTACCCCCCCTGAAACCTACCTTTTTGACATATTCATCAGATGGTTGGGTCAAAAGGGGGTTACCTTACATACACGCTAAGGGTATTATATATATATATACATTCTAATAGTGTAATAAGTATGCTATTGAGACTGATTGAACTTAACCTCAATGATAGCATTCTGGGAAGAATGCATTCAGAATGCATTCTCTGCATTCTGGGAAGAATGCATTCAGAATGCATTCTCTGCTAAAACCAAGAACCAAGAACCAAGATTCCCCCAGGACTCCTGAACAAACCTTGGAATTTCCGAACCAAAACCAAGAACCAAGATTCCCCCAGGACTCCTGAACAAATCTTGGAATTTCCGAACCAAAACCAAGAACCAAGATTCCCCAAAGACTCCTGAGCAAATCTTGGTTCTTGGTTCTTGGTTTTAAATCTAAGATTCCCCAAAGACTCTTGAGCAAATCTTAGATCTTAGATTAGGGAAAGAATGCATTCTGAATGCATTCCTGCGGAAATGCATCCATCTTGGGTTTCCCTTAAGCAGATGGGATTGATTCAACTACTACGAAAAAGTTTCAACCTAGGGTCTTTTCCCCAAGCCTGAAAAATAAATGAACACACTGTGTCAAAACAATGTTGCATTTTCTTGAAGGAATGCTCCACCATGTTTAAGGAATGTAGCGCTCTTGCCAATGGAAAATTGCAAAAAACTAATGCTACACTACAACTCTTTTGGAAGTATTATTGTTTCCAGTGAATACTGCATAGACTAAGAGAGCTTTCTTATTGAAGTTATGCTGTGCCCTTTCAGGTCACTTTTCTTCAGAAGGGGCACTGTCAATCTCACAAGGGTAGCATTTGTGATTTTTTTTAAAGCAAAGACGGGTCACATTTGTTCATTTCAAGTATACACAATTACTGACTCTAGAAAGCACGATGTAGCAGTACTTGTGCCACATGTGCAGCATGTTCTTTTAAATATCCAACTTGTTTTTCAACAAAGATAGTGTCACTTAGAGAAAAACATGTATGTTCTTCAAAGTAATGGCTACATTTCTGAAGATATCCTAGTTGATTTGAAGAGATACTGCATTTGATTGGAAGATGCCTTGTATGTTGCAGGGACTGTTTGTGCAACGTGTTTCTTCCTTTCAGAAGTACTGTACTTAGTACGTTATGAAATGGGTCGGTGAATTAAGAATGCATATTTACATGTTGGAATAAAACACTGATTGATCGAAATGAAGAGATATATGTTCAAGAGAAGTGGCTTTCTGCAAAGGAATGCTACCTATTGAAACGGAATACTCTTTTTGCTTAAGGAATGCTACACCCTTTGAATGAAAGTGTCTGTTTGTAAGGCCTGCTCTTGTCACTTAGAATTGGTTCTTCAAGAGAAGGATGCATGTTTGATTGTCTCTTGTAGTCATTTACAGTGTTTCACTGCCTTTTTGAGGTTTGGGGAACAGACCCAAAGTTGAATGATCTTTTTCATGTGGGTTGAATCACTACTTAAGGGAAACTTTGCATAGAGGTTGAGGTACTTGGAGGTACGTAAATTATACTTAAGACATAGTTTGGAAGGGTACGAACTAAGAGGTCCTAGGACCTCCTAAGACCCACACACCATCCAAAGTATTGAGCCACTGCAGCAGTACAACAAGAGAGAAACTACATAGTAAGGGAAAAAAGGCCTAAGACATATCTACCATATTGATCATCAAATAATATGCAAGATCTGAAAGCATACAAAATCCAAAATTTCACGTGTCACAAGAAGGAACAAAAACATTGTAAAGGTTGGAATGCCGTTTGCGACTTGGTCTGAAGATGATGAATCAACCAACCCCCAACAAAGTTGAAAGGGTTGATTCCAACCAAAATGCCAGCTGCTGCCTTCGTTGGTCAGTTGGCACCTCATTGTGGTCATAGTATGTTCACCTGGCTGAGGGAACTGCGGCGGTTGCAACTTCAATTCGCAGCAACTCCCATTGGTGGGGCTCCTGCCTATACAGCAAGGTGGGCATGGGACATAGTTGTCACTGGGTCTTTGGACAGTTCACGCTTATCAAAAGTGACATTCAACATACTTATCAAATATGTATATATGTTCTGATTATGTTCTCAAATATGTATCTACTATTATTGACCATTATTTACTATTAATTTGTATTCACATACTTATTCACTCATTTGATTCGTGTATTCATTGCCCATATATATATATTATATTAGACTAATTGGTTCATTTATTGGTTGATCCTTTGATTCATTCATTGATTCATTCATTGATTTTGCCATGTATCCATGGCATGATAGGTATGGCCCGCACTGAGGGGGTTGACACCACTGATATGGTCACCCCACCTTCTACTGTTGCAAGGCATGCCCCTTAGAATGCCGATGGCTCTGATCTCGACGGGTGGAGGTCGATCCGTATCGATCCATGCTCAATGTGGGGGATACGCATAAATTGCAATTTCGATGTGGAATAAGATGATATATATATATATTATATAGTTATATAGTTATATAGTTATATAGTTGTATAGTTGTATAGTTGTATAGTTGTATAGTTATATAGTTATATAGTTATAATGTATATATATATATATGTACATATGTATATTGATTCTAGTGATTTAATTCATACGCCATCATTTTTCTTGGTGGCACTGAATTTTGAAACAGATCCAAATGGAAGAGCTAGTTGCCGTAGTTTCCATTTGGAATGGTGCCGAGCGGCAGGACAAGGTGGTTGCTTTCCAGCTGCCTACCTCATGGCCCCGGAGCTAAAGTGGGGATCGGGGGGCCAGGGGGGTGTTCAAATCACCCGGCAACTAATGAACCTCTTGTGAAGTGCGGAAAACTTATCCTGGACATGTGTGGGAGAGGTATGGGGAGGGATGAACGGACATTTATTTCTGGTTGTCAGCCATCCTGACTTTCCGTCGGCAGGCACTAAATACTCTCGCTTTGGCTGTTTGAGAACTAACATATACTTGAACAGGCCACGGCTTAAGGATACCCAAAATGGACCTCTTGATATTCCGTTTTTACCAGTGGCTATGAAGTGGTTGGAATGTAGCTTACATGCATGGTATACATATACATATAGATTGTATATACATATACAATGAAATACATATACATATATACACATGCAAATACATATTGCATATGCCTATATGTTTCTATGGTGCCGATCATGTTTTTTGGTCTTGCCATTCTCTGTGGTGAAATGAGGATTCAATGCAGCCGCAGCCTGCGCCGAATCAAATGAATCCACAGATGACGCAGATGTCGATGAATCACCAGTGAGGCTGGCAGGCTCACTTGGGGCGTGGCGAAATCTGGGGCTTGTGGATGATACCCTCTGGTAAACTAACATAACTATGGAAAATCACAATTTTCAATGGGTAAATCCACTATAAATGGCCATTTTCAATAGCTACGTTAAATTACCAGAGGGTAATGGTGTCCAAGAAATGTTCACAGATCTCCCATTTTTCACATGGCCACAGCTTTTTTTTTTAGAGCCAGGCTGGAGAGACGCTACAGATGGAGCAATAGCCCCGTTGGATTCATGACAATCCAGTCGTGTTTCACCCGGTGGTGTTCCCATCACGCCGCGATTGGAAGCTCAGTGATGTTGAAATCGGTGAAGATCATCCCAAAGGGCTGTAGCACAAACGGGTGGTATTTCTTTATTAGACAGTGGAACCTGCATTTGTTTGGAACAGAACTTGGACATTTGACCCACCCCATGAAACAGGAATTTGTCATGTAAGTTGTGGATTGATTTTCCTGCCCAAACCTGAGTCGAGCAGATCTCCTTCCTCTAGTAGTGTCATTTTTTGGCGTCAGTGCGCCGGCCCTGATATCGGCACCTTTTGATCTCAAGAGGATGGCTGTTGGGCTCGCTTTCGCAGCTTCCGTCTTAGCAGCTAATCGCCAGCCCACGCGCGCTGGTGCAAAAGATGAATCACTTGAGGAATCATTGACTCCTCAAATTGGATGGGATAATGGGATAATACAAAAATACACGATAGTAACAAAACGACTGTAGATCCAATCGAGTCATACTGGTATGAACTCGGCTTATTGATATTTATTGATTCTCATTGTAACTGCCAGGGACTCAAGACCCTTCTCATGCACATCAGAGGGTAAACTGTGGCCAATCAAGTACTGCATCTGCCAACGAAAAGCAACAACCAGACAGGAAAATGCCAATTGGATCCAATTGTAAGATGTTGGTAGGTTGTGTTCCATCCTCTCTAGACATAGCTTGAAGACAAACGTGTCGAGGTTTCACATGTCGGTAAGGATGTGGTCCTTGAAATCTATGGATTTTTGCTCAAGATGGTCAGTGTTTGACATCTTCAGAAAAACTAAGAGAACCAGCTTGGTCATGGCGAAACTGCAGATCTAGTGGAAAAGACCTAGGGCCGTTGTAGCCTCAAGAAGTGTAGCTCTCCAGTTTTTGACCCCTAGCTGCAGTCTTCAACAAATTGCCTGGAAAAAGACTGCGAAGACACCAGCTGTGTGGAATAAAAACATATAAAAACATCATGTTTCAGCATTTTGCAGTATTTTTCCATCAGTTTTTTCAGCTCGTCAAGGCATCCAATTTCTCGCCACAAGTGGGGAGCCCAGCCAGCTGGGTGACCCCTGTCCAGATGGGCAATGTCATCGGTGAAATGGAGCGACCTGCCGGACAGCACTCCGCTTGACTATGAGCAGGACGAAAAAATCTGGGCGACATGAATTATGGTGATACAATGGTGATTGAAGCCAGTGATTTTATGTGATTCACCATGACAAACGGGGGATTTAAAGGGATCAACTGGATCAACTCACCAACATGGCTCACCACATGATTGGACTTGACCAATTTCCAGGAGAGGATTCCGGGAAAATGATATCGATTTCACAACCTCGTTGGGTATTTGACCTTAGGACCTAAGGCATTAAATCAGATTTTCCTGATTTTCATCCTCAAACTTTGGCCACACCCAGGAGAATCAGAAGAGACCTGGGAGCAAGTCCCACGAGTTGTACGAAAAATACAAGAAGTCCAAGACTTATGGTGAGGCGCACCCGCCGCAACTTAGTGGTGACTGTTCGGTTTTCCTATGTTTTCCTTGATCATCCTAGATCGTTGTGAAGATTGCAGGGTGACCTTGGCTGGCGTGCCATGATTATCTCTGTATAATATATATATATATATATATATGTATACATATTATAGTATATATATATAGTATATATATACAGTATATATATAGTATATACAGTATATATAGTATCTACAGTATATACATATATATATAGAGTATAACTAATATATATATATAGGTCGAAATTCGAGACCTAGGAGGATGAGCACTTTTTCGATTGGCACCGGCGAAAAGGCAAAAGCCAATGGAGCGCGGCCTGAAGATTTCCGCCACGACTATGGGAAGGCCGGGGTGCGAAAGCAGCGGACTCTTGATGGATGGGTTAAAACTGCCAATAAGATGTGGAACTGCCAGATTTCAGAGATACCCATCTAGCCTGGTGATGTGTAGTGTTTTAGTTCTTTGTGTGTACATAACCATATACATCCATATACATCCATATACTACTGTATGTATCTACATCTATCTACATCTATCCACTATATATACTTTACTTTCCTCTGAGATGATTTGAACATACCTCTGGAGCATACTTCAAGTTCCTCCACACCAAATGATTTGGGAATCCTCCAAGAAACCCATCTTTAAGTGGCAAGGGGTTTCCGCTCGTTGCGGGGTCTTTGAAAATTTATTGTTATTTTTTTCAAATCAACTATGTTAATGTTGTCTGACCAATAGTGATATCTTGTCAATAGTAGAAACATTTTTCCGCAACTCCAATTTTTCTCCAATACTAAAAGTCAATTAGCTCTATTTACTTTTAGTATTGCCAAAAGAGTCATGTTCAGACCTTGTCCAGAGGGCATGGCCAATAGTGGACCCAACATGGCAATAGTGGAAACTTTTTTCCCAACTCCAATTTTTTCTCCAATACTAAAAGTCAATTAGCTCCATTTACTTTTAGTATTGCCAAAAGAGTCAAGTAAAGCAAATCCTTTTCAAAGCAGCCTTCACTTTTGATTAGCAAAAGCTTAGATTCCAGAAATCTGATCCAATTACCAAACAGCTGATTTCCTTATAAAACCCTTATTAAAAAAAGCAAGAAAACAGGTCCACAAAGGGTACTCCCTTTGCAAGCCCCAGAATAGCAATAACAAACCTGCACCAGGCATGGCAATAGTGGAAACTTTTTTCCGCAACTCCAATTTTGTTGTCCTCCTTCTCCTTCTCCTTCTTCTCCTTCTCCTCCTCCTCCTCGTCCTCCTCCTTCGCCTCCACCACCTCTGCCCCCACTTCCATGTCCACTTCCGCCTTGCCAACTCTTCGCCAATCTCTCAGAAACCCAACCAAATCCATTCAGAATTTATCAGAAACCCAACAAAACCATGGAGAATCTATCAGATACATATAATGATCCCAGCTATAGATTCCCAAAAAATATTATAGGAAGGTTGACCCCCCCCCCAAAAAAAAATAGGGGGGGTAATTACTATTAGGCAGCCAACATTAAGTATATGTTAGCTATATTCACATATCTATATCTGTTGATGCTGACATAGTTATGCCTAGAATAAACTATGGTAGTCATATTGATATTCAATTTGCAAATGTAAATATACAATATATATATATGTATAACAAATATATATATATGTATACCTCTATATTATGATATATCTATGGGAAACAGCTAAGCCTCATACGCTTTCGTTGAGGGATGGCTGAAGCTCCAACCAGCCGATGGACAACTTCCTCTAGGCACCGGATGCGGATGCGGATGTTGATGAATGGCGAAGAACTCAGCAAACAGTGGAGATCATATCTATACATATTTGTGTCTACAAACCATATGATATATATATATATGTGTGTGTGTGCAATTATATACATATGTAATGTATATGTAAATACATATATGCATACATATGAGGTTGCAGAAAAACGGTCCACAACCTGGATTTAGATATAGATGGGGTGCAGAAAATTTGACAAACACTGTTTTTGCTAATGAGCTAGGAGTTGGTTCACGTTGGTTGGGATTATGTACATTATTCATATAATATTGAAAGTAGCAATGCCCGTCATTGCAGCAACACACTGACGAAACGAATGGGTATATCCTAAAGTTGAACGATATGGCACCTAAGAGCTTCACCTATCTTACAGGGTCCAATCTATGCTTGATACCACCATGGAAACTGCAGAAACCTTCACGCGCAGTTCCTCCAAAGAATGGGGCGAAGAAGGAATCGGAAGGCGGGCTTCGGCGGCCCTGATGGCCCTGATGGGGATGTGCCTCTAATCTTTGCCGATCTTTGCCGGCAACTGGCATAGCATGATATAGACAATTGATTGCATTGGTAGGTTCACACACACACATATATATATATGCATGTATACATATATATATATATACACATTTATATGTCCATATTCATCATATTCATCTATTCCTATTAGTCTTATCATAACTTATAACCTATCATCATATTCTTCTAATATCTTCTTATCATATCTGTTGGCGTATCCATCACCTGGTGATTCGCTTCGATTCGTCATCATCCCGAGGCTCGAAGCGACCGTCCAAAGATGGCGGGTCGGGGGTCTCGGAACCTGCATGAAAGGTAGCCTCTGGTTATGACTAACATAGCCATGGTTTTTCGATGGCCCTCAGAAATAGATGGTGACTACCGTTCTTAATAGCATGGTGGATCTTTCCATGGCGAACTGGCAATGTCATAACCAGAGGCTAAATCTATTTTATCATGAAGCATATCATTTGATTCCTTTGCCGTTGCTGCAACTAAATCTAAAGCCAAGATATAATTGGTAACTGTCCTACGTATATGTACGTATGTATATGTACGTATATATTTATATACATACACAGATTCTAGTTACTAATAGTTAGATAGATTAGATATGTCATGCTATGTCAACCTTCGCAAGATCCAGGTCAAAGTCTTGTCTCCTGAGGTCCAAGAAGTCCAAGGTGGGTAGGGCTGAAGCTAGAGGGATTTGGTGGGACGAATACATGACTAATATAACCTAATATATATATATATATATGCTAACCCCCCCCCCTGATACCTACTTTTTACTGTTAATTCCTTCCTTTCTTCGTAACTACATCTGTGCTGGCAGCAAGTCATTTGCAAGAACCATGTGGGTTACATGCTTGAGGGAGCGTGGGTTCAAAAGGATGAAGCTATGAAGGCTTTGCACAAAGTGCTGCGTTACAAGTTCTCACTTGGGCAAACTACAGCAAGTACTTTGCACGAATCACGGTCACATGCTTGAGGGAGGGTGGGTTCAAAAGGATGAAGCTATGAAGGCTTTGCACAAAGTGCTGCGTTACAAGTTCTCACTTGGGCAAACTACAGCAAGTACTTTGCACGAACCACGTGGTTCACGTGCTTGAGGGAGGGTGGGTTCAAAAGGATGAAGCTATGAAGGCTTTGCACAAAGTGCTGCGTTACAAGTTCTCACTTGGGCAAACTACAGCAAGTACTTTGCACGAACCACGTGGTTCACGTGCTTGACACTTTAGGAAGGGTGGATTCAAAAGGATGAAGCTGTTGAGGCATAACATTATATTGAGGTAAAGAGTGGCACTTGCCTACGGTTCGACGAAGACCCCTGCAACCGCAGTAGCTCCCACGATATAGCGAAGAGAAGAAGCATCCTTTTTTTGGCCATCGCACGCTCGCACTCGGTAATCTACCCCAGATACCACTGTACAAGTGCGCCTGTGCATGTCCACAGGTCTTTTCCTCGATTCCAGTACTCGTACTGGCCCGATCTCAATTGCATGCAAAGCATGCGAGCCCCGACGCATGCCTGCTGGTTCAAGGTCACGCGTTCTTTTAAAAAACGCCAGCATCGGTCGACGATCTGCGTACCGGACTTCACCTGCATGACTTTGCCGCCAGGAAGACGATGCTTTTGGACCTCGACATACTTCGGAGCCACCCATCGAAATTTGTTGCCCACCTTTACTCGTGTCTTCTTGTGTACGACACGGTCGTGTAACATACCTGGGACTTGTGCCCGGTAACTCTTCGCAGAATCTGTGTGTAGAATCACATTTTTTCCCTCCAGCCATTTTTTGGCAATTGGCTTCCACTCGACTTTGCGCACTGCTCCCGGGCCCGGAGCGCGCAGTGCTGCCAGCGGAGGTTTCAGGCGGTGCAGCACAATCGTACCCGGCTTGCCTCGCTGCACTATGCCACACCACTGCTCCCATTGGACTTGCCCTTGAACAATCTTTTTGGCAAACGTGGCTTCGTCAGCTTCCACATCTGCCCATTCATGTCCTCGTCCAAAGCAAATCTCCTTCTCCTTTTCCAGGACGTAAGCTTCACGTAGTGTATACAGCCTCTTCTGCATGTCTTCAATGGCTTTGTGATTCACATACATAAGGCGGTGGATGGCTGCATGTGGCACACGGTTCAGCAAGAGCAGCAGCAAGGCTGCCTGCGTTGAAAGTGGAGTATGTGACTTGCCCCAATGGTCCACAAACAAAGGATGGGCATAGTGAGGACTGATATATGCCTGACAGTTTTTGGCATTGCACCTATGTTTCGGTGGGCCGCCCTGTCTCTGAGGAGCCAACTTCCCCAGGGTTCCATGCTGACAGCGAGGACAAACGGACCCTTCCAAACGAGGTAGCAAACCATCTTTTCGCAACAGCTCCACTAACGCACGGGGCGAGCATGTCAAGAGCTCTGGCAATGACCTTTTCCATGAGTCTCGATCCCCCCGCACCTGCTTCACAGCTTCAGGATCACGAACATAAGGAACTCGTTGCCAATTCGCCTTCTTCTTTGGCTTGAGGTAAGCAGGCCGTTTCAAAACTTGCCGTGTCTTGCCCTTCTTCGCAATGATGGGGTTGAAGCGCGGCGCCATACTCTCTACTATGGGAATGCTTGTTTCTCTAAGATCCAAAAGCTTCTGGTAGAAGAAAACATAACAATGCTGATCGGTTACAAGTATGCGATGACCACATTGGACCAGTGAAGTGACACAAGCTCCTTCATATGTTTTTATTACCCGTCGAATGCTGCCAACTGCTGGGATGGCATGATTGTTGCAAGACAAGCACGTACACACGTTCTATGTTATCTTGCTTATGTCTTCCCAACAGCAACACGCACAGCTTCTTTTTATCGCCCGCTACTGTGAGCAGATGTCGCTCCCCATATTGTACTATATGTACATGCCACACGACGGCATTCCCGGCTCACTCATGGAGGAAGATTGCAGCCTCTGTGTCCGCCTCGAAGTCATCTCCATCTGGACCAGTAGATTCTTGCCACTCTTCTACCGCATCCATCTCAGCAGCCTGGGCCAAGGCTTCCAAGTCGGCTGATGAACCATCTGCAGGAGCCTCCTCTGGTCGACTTTTGGTTCTCAGACGCTTGGCAGGTGGATAGCGGAACTGCCCAATCCGATGGCAGCGCCAGGCCGGATTTGGAATGATGACTGGCGGAGGTGGCAGAACAGTTTCTTCTTCCTGAGACGATTCTCCTTCTGGCCTGTCAGAGAGACGGACTGACTGTGCAAGGCGGGCGCGCCACAGCTCGGCTTCGATCTTCTCGTTGGCATCTTTGATGTAGACTTCCGGTCGTCCGGCGGCAAACTTTTCCATGCCCAGAGAGATTGTGCGGACCTCTTGCTGGGTTTCCTGTTCCCACTGAGGGCCATACTCCACGATACCGAGCTTGTACTTGGAATAGAGCGGCTTGTCCTTTTCGGAGAGGAGGTCTTTGTGCAGCTCATCCACCTGGATTCGATGTACTGGGGCCTCTGGATCCTGATTGGGAAGCCGAAGGTAGACAGCATGTTGCCCCACAAGCAAAACCACGGAGCGTTTCAAGCAAGCGAGGACGTCAGCCTGCTTGTCCCCTGCAAAAAGACGTCTGGTCATCTTCATGAACTCCTCGCCCGTGATGAAGATGCGTGAGTCATCTAATGGCTCATCCTCACGGTCCAAGTCATTCGACGCATAAGCTCTCATGCAATTCCTCGTGAGCTTTGCGTCATTGTAGCGACCCGACGTAGTTTGCTCTTCTTCCACAGTCAAGAAGGACTTGAGGTCGGCCATGGAGACATTCTCACGGTTGGGGTCGTCCAGGAAGATGCCCTCGTACACATTGGCCACTTGATGCCGAAAGTTATCAAGTGACTTGGCTCTTCTCCATCCTGGCACAGCATCTTCTTCTTGCAACCTGTGGATATGATACCTGCCCATAGCAAGAATCACAGCAATCAAGGCAGGAGTTTTGCCAACCCCGGGCCAGCCCAAAGCTACGACCCCGTAGCAGACGAAAAGTGGGTACAGGACAGGCAATAACTTCTCAGCTAAGAAGGGTTTCAATGAGAAAGTGGTCAAGGGGAAGCCCTTCTGCAATGTGGCACCATTGGAAGCCTTGGACTTGTTTTGTGCCATGATCCTCACTTTGCCTTCTGGCCAACCAGCAATGGGACTCTCCGCATCTTCTCGGATGTTGAGTAAAATCCATGTATACTGCTCATTGTTGGCATCCGTCTCAGGCGCATGGTCATTGATAAAGGCCACGCCTTGGAGTAAAGTGTCAGTGTCTGGGGACCATGTCGATGAAGAGCTTGCACTATTCTTCGCTTGTGCCTCCCATCTCGTCACTGTGCCCCAGTGCACATGATGTCCAGGCAGGCGGTCCAATAAGGATTGGAAAGCCTTCTTGACAGCCCACGGACCTGGACGAGAGAAAGGAACGTAGGCAGATCCTGCAGGAATTTTCGTGGCGTCCCGGATCGCCATCTTGTCTTGGAAAGTCACAAGCTTGATTACATCCAATTTCCCGTGGCCTTTCTCCATGGCAATACACCCAACCTTTGAGTGAGCTGGTAAGGCATGAGCAAACTGCAATGCAGCTGGTAGACTCTCGATCCTTTGCTCCTGGCAGACCGCTGCAACATTTTCGGCAGAACCACAATTCTCCACATCCTGCTGCACATCCACTAACATCATTGTAGCTGCTCTGAGACCATTGAGTGGACGACAGCAAGAGAAGAAGTCAGATATGCTCATGGGGTTCTCGATGCTGGCACTTGTTTTGGATTCACAGCGCGGGGCCGCCAAACTTTCAAAGCGCCACTGCTTCCCACCGTAGACCCGCATCGCTTCATCGATGATCTCAGTCGCCATGGTGAGGACACAGAGAGACTAGACCCAGCGAGGCGCACAGAGGGGGCACGATACTATGAGCGTAGAAGCGTTGCAGAAGAGATGGATATGCAGAAGCAATGGGAACGAAGCAGACGAGTGCTGGCAGACACAGTCAACTAAGTATAAACTCAAGTCTGGAATCAAGTCTGAAACCAAGTCTGAAACCAAGTCTGAAACCAAGTCTAAACTTATTAAGTTTGCTACACTTCGAACTTATCCTCCCACCTTCCCCTTCCCTGTTTCAAAGGTTACATGGCAATGTGTCTTGCATCGTGCTCCGTGTCTTCGCGAATGCGCAATCTTTTTCATCCGCCGCCGATGTCTCTGGCTCAGCCGCTCTCGCAGGCTCGAAGCAGACCCCTCTATCCTGTACGGTTCTGCTGCGATGCTAAAATGGCCTGCAACTCCAGCACTTTCTGCTGTGTTTTCTCCAACCCGTCCGCCGCTTCAAGATACGTCCCCAACAAATCATCAAAGTCATGACACAAGCTGCACCTCTGGATTTTCAGTGGACGTTCCAGAGTCTGCCCGTTGTCCTGCTCTCCTGCGCTGCCGGCACCCAGCACACCCTCATTCCAAGATGCCACACTTGCGCTCCCATTGGATCCTGCAACCTCCTCTGGACTGTCCACGACGCCACCTACAGGCGAGGGGGGGGCAATGTTGAGGGCCGGGTTGGGCACGTACTCGTACTCAGTATCAACTTCAGGTGCAACGCCTAAAGACGGGTTCGGTACTCCTTGCCATTGCTCTTCTTCTGATGCCGACGAGGAGTCAGAGTCAGAGAGGAAGAGTCAGACGTGGACGACGTCGACGAGGATGAAGTACCATTCGTCAGCTGCAAGACCTGAGAGAGCGAGAAATGACAGAAGGCATATGATCATACCGAACATGTCTTCGTAACTGTATAATCACGCGTGGAGAACCAAAGTACGTAAGGCGACTTCGGCCCCGAGAAAATAACGAGTGTTAGTGTACTCAAGACATGGAACACATGTTCTGAAGTCCAATCAGCCGAGGCGCAGGTTGGGAGGCTGTGGCAGTCTCCTTTTTGGGACGGATCACTTTGGGGAGAGCCAGGGCATGTAGGAGCTTTCGTGAGGCGTCAGGACTCCAGCTGCCCAGCAATCTGACAGGGGCCAGTCGGAGTCCTTTCTGAATGTTGCAGACCATTGCCGCTAGGTGCTTTCGCGCAAGTGGTTGTCTACTTTCATGTACTGCATGGTCCCCGGCGAGGACTTGATTCAGCAGCATTTGTAGGTTGTCTGCAGGTCCCCCACCAGGTCCCCCAGGAGCCGCCGCGCCATCCTGTGCCACCGACAAGACAACAACGGCCTGATTGTCGCGCAGAAGCACACTTCCGGCAACGGGGATCGACATGAGGCCGGATGCGATGACACGAGGATACGAGATCTCAACAAGCCAAGAGCGAAGCTCAGACCGAGGCACACGGACATTGTTTGTCGGAGAGTTTCTGTCTACACATGTGTACACTGATCTCAAGTCTGAACTTAAGTCTGAACTCAAGCCTCAAAGCCTGCCACCGAAGATCCAAGATCCAAGATTCCCAGAAAATTTTTCTTGGATGCAGGCTGGAAATCTTGGATGCACCCAAGATCCAAGATCCAAGATCTCCAGAAAACTTTTCTTGGACATCTTGGAAATCTTGGGATAAACCCAAGATCCAAGATCTTGGGTGCATCCAAGATTCTGCAAGTGCATCCAAGAAAAGTTTTCTGGAAATCTTGGATCTTGGATCTTGGGTGCATCCAAGATTTCCAGCCTGCATCCAAGAAAAAATTTCTGGGAATCTTGGATCTTGGATCTTGGGTGCATCCAAGATTCTGCAAGTGCATCCAAGAAAAGTTTTCTGGAAATCTTGGATCTTGGATCTTGGGTTTATCCCAAGATTTCCAAGAAAAGCTTTCTGGAAATCTTGGATCTTGGATCTTGGGTAGCAGGAATCGAGACTATGACACTCAAGTCTGAAGTCAAGTCTGAACTCACGTCTGAACTCATGTCTCAAGAAACTCAATATAAAAAGCTTTCTGGAAATCTTGGATCTTGGATCTTGGGTAGCAGGAATCGAGACTATGACACTCAAGTCTGAAGTCAAGTCTGAACTCAAGTCTGAACTCATGTCTCAAGAAGCTCAATATAAAAAACCTATCAAATTCAACATATGAAAATAAGCAAATTATACTGTAATTTACAGTATAAATCAAGGAAAGGTAGGTACCAGGGGGGGGTACCATATATATATATATCACCAATATGTAGCTGCTATTTAGGGGTTTACTTTCTGTTTCTGCTTCGTTTTTTTTGGTTCCTTTGATTCTTTCTTCCAGCAGAGAAGGAACAAACCAGCCCAGGTTTCTTCGCAGCACGATGGGTGGGTCACGATATGGCGGATCTCTGGTGGATTGCCAGCGATTTCTTATGGTTAGTATTAATGGTATTAGATTTCACCCAGAAAATGGGGATTTCCATTGGGATTTTATATGGGTAGATAAGTTATAGACTCATAGACTCTTTTGAATCGGAGTACTTACTTTGCGGTTGTTCACAAAAAAACTGTGGAAAATCACCATTTTGCATATAGCTATGTTCGCGGAGGGCAATGTATGTGCCTGGCCACAGGAAGAGGATGAGCCAATCTGGCAGGCGCTGTGATTCATCAACGATCCAAGTGGAATGACCTGGTGAAATCAAGAAATACATTGGCCAAATTGGCGCTAAAATGATGACTAATATGTATCCAATATGTATCTGATATGTATCTAATATGATATGTATCTAATATGATATGCTATCTAATATGATAGCTAAGTATGAGTCTAATATGATTCTGTTATGTATCTGATATGTAATCTAATATGATCTCAATATGATATGTCATCTAATTGAGGTATCTAATTGATATGTATCTAAATGATATGTGTCTAATTTGATAGATCTAATATGATATTGTATTCCTGATATGTATCTAATATGATATGTATCTAATATGTATCTTTCACTGTGAGTCCTGTTTCTTTTTAAAGCCTCTGTCACTCTGGCAACGATTTCCTGTAGTGAGCAGAACAGGCATCTGTCACAGTGGCCAATTGGTTCATGAAAGTGTCCAGCCTTGACGCGCCATGAACATGTTCTGTCCTACCGCCTGGGACCTTCCATACCTAGGAGGAAACGAGAGATCCAGAGCAGATTCAGCAAGACTTGAAGAAACAGGATTGGGACGGATTGGGAATGGGGAGTTGGAGGAACTGCGAATTTCGTTTGAATAAATGAACAGCACTTCTTCCTTTGCCCGTGATGTTTTTCCCTCTTCCATCCTTGAATGTATTAGTATTCATTTTGTCGCCACTTAAGACCAAGAGATTTGCTGAAAGGGTGGAAGTGACTGCTTTTTCAGTGTTCCAGGGATGAACCATCTACAATTCCAAAATGATAAAATCATGAAACATCAGGATTTCTCTTCCGCCCAGGAGCAGCTCAGCAAAGAGCTGAACGAGCTCAAGAACGATCAGTACAAGAAACGTGAACGGCCCAAGGTACGGCTGGGGTGCGGAAGCTGCTAGGAATCCCGTGAAGGAAAACCAAGAGTTGGACTGAAGCGACATGGCGGATATGGAATACAGTTGTTTTCTGCATTCAAAGCAAGGTTCCTCTTCTCTGATATTATCTGGTTCTAGTTCAGGACCATGGGTCCCCATGGTGCTGGGAAGTCGGGCCACAGGATGCCTTCGAAATGGCCATGGAAGCCTTCAGTAAGGCAGGACTCTTCAGATTTTTAGATTGTTTTCCTTTGGACTGGAGTTGAACAAAAATGGAAGTTTTAGATTCTTCCAAAATCTTGGAGAGTCCAAGAAATCTAATAAGACATCTACTGTAATAATAAGAAATCTAATAAGAAATCTAATAAGAAATCTAATAAGAAATCTAATAAGAAATCTAATAAGAAATCTAATAAGAAATCTAATAAGAAATCTAACAGAACATCTAATAACATATCTACTAAGTTGGAATTTCTCTTCCAAGAAATCTTAAACTTGAGAGCCACAATCTATTCTTTCAAAGATTTCGTGGCTCACCGCAGGGCTCCTCGAAGAGCTCAAAACAGATCAAGGTCAGTGAGGTCAAACGCTGGGCTTTCGAGGGCGAAGAATGGAGACTGGGAAAATGAGCGTGACATTTATAGAAGATATTGGTTTTTAAGCAACACAAATTGGAGTACCTTACCTAGCTGATAAAACTATATACAACTATATAGAACCAACAAAAACATGGTTTGAAGCAAGAAATACAGGCTCTGAATCAATCATGTCTGGGTGTTTGAGCAGCTAGAGTGGTGATAAAGGCAATGACCATCATGATGTAACCAATGGTCAATTTCGGTCATTGGTCAATTGCAGCCACGATGAATCACCGCTGATCTGAACACGGAAGTAGATGCTACTTTCCTTTGCCTGGCCAGTGGTGAACTACACCAATTACATATAAAAACATACTAATCATAGTGAATAATAGTAATAATAATAGATAATACATGATAAATAACAAAAAATAAGAATAAATAGTACTAATACTAGTACTAATACTAATACTAATACCAATACTAATACTCATACTCATACTAATACTGTAGTACTATACTATACTATACTGTACTGTGCTGTACTATACTATACTATACTATGCTACTACTAATGATGATAATACTAATACCACATATATATATATACACATACGATATATATATATATACACATACACACATACGATATATACACATATATATATATATATACACACATACATTCGATATATATATATACGTACGACACACACACACACATATCTATATATATATATACATACGGTATATATATATATACATACATGAGGCGTGTATATATATATATACATGCGATATATATATATATTATATATACACACGCGATATATATACATATGTATATATATATATACGATATATATACATACATACATACCTACCTACCTACATACATACATACATACATACATACATACATGCATACGATATATATATATATATACATATATATATATACACATATATATATATATATACACGTACACACAGACAGACAGACAGACGGACGGACGGACAGACAGACAGTCAGACATACTTACATACGTACGTACGTACGTACGTACATACATACATACATACACACACACACATACCTATGTATGTCAAAAAATCTGAGTGCAAAAACCAGCTATCTCATCTCCCAGGGCGAATCCAAGGGTGCTGCCTTCGATGTGAAGCTGGAAAAAGCCCACAAACAACTGCAGAAAGAGACCATGGAGCAGTTAGAGAAAGCCCGCAAGGTGCGAGCTGCGGATTCAGTGGTAGCCTGGTTGATGGTTCCCATACTTTCTCCCAGTTGTGGGCAGCTTGAGAATCGATGTACCCAAGCCATATCCCACTGGTTGGTGGTTTTGACAATTCTATAGTTTTTCTTCTTTGTTTTGTTTGAGATTTTAGCTTGCTTGAATCAAACATATGGAATCGTACTGATTCTAACCATCAAAAATATGCGAATGATGATGATCATGATATATACCATGATGATGATGATGATGATGATGATGATGATGATTAAAACCATTATCCCCATTGATTCAGGCAGATGAAGCCGCCCAGTTGCTACAGGAAAGGGCGGAGAAAGCGGCGAGAGAAGCTCGAGAGGAAGCTAAGGTGCGGGGCGTACCCTCTTGTAATTTAATATAGAAACATAGCTATATTAGCTATGGAAAATCATAATTTTTGATAAGGTAAAGTAAATCATGAGTAAATGGACAATTTTTCATAATTATGTTCAAGTACCGGAGGGTATGTGCTAAGTGCAGTTACCCTGCAGTAAATAAGGATCATTCGATATAGAGAAAAGCCATGGTTTCCATTGGAAATGGTATATAGGACAATATGTATATATATATACTTATATGATAATATATGTATATGATACTATATAATTATAGATATAATATAATATACACACATATATATATACATATATATATATACACATTGGATGGTGGATTTTCCATATCTAATTTGCTGGAGGCTAATGAGGCTAAGTGTATTTTGAGTAGATACTTTTTGAATGATGCATGCCCGAATTTGCAGGGGGTTATCTACCTCGGGAATCCCGTGAATTAAACATATTTGCACTGCCAAAGGGGCCCATCAGTATACCGGTCCGATAATCTCGTGGTTGAACAACATCACTATTAGTCAAGACCCCATGAATTTTCAGACAGACTGGTTGTTTCTTTTGAATTACTTTACTTCGTGTGATCCCCACCATGACATTTATACATTTTGTTACTGGCAAATCTTCTGGCATTCTATCTGACATATTTTCTGGCATTCGATCTGGCATTCTATCTGGCATATCTTCTGGCATTCTACCTGGCATATCTTTTGGCAGATGTTCTGGCATATCTTCTGGCAGATGTTCTGGCATATCTTCTGGCATATCTTCTGGCATATGTTCTGGCATATCTTCTGGCATTCCATCTGGCATTCTATCTGGCATATCTTCTGGCATATTATCTGGCAAATCTTCTGGCATTCCATCTGGCAAACATTCTGGCACTTTATCTGGCATATCTTCTGGCATTCTAGCTGACATTCTATCTGGCATTCTATCTGGCATACCTTCTGGCATTCTATCTGGCATATCTTCTAACATTTTATCTGGCATATCTTCTGGCACTCTATGTGGCATATCTTTTGGGCATTCTATCTTGCATATCTTCTAACATTCTATCTGGCATATCTTCTGGCACTCTATGTGGCATATCTTTTGGCGTGGATACTCGCGGTTGAGGTCCGGCAGGGAACACTGGGCGGGGATGGTCGTGGTTGAGGTCCGGCAGAGAACACTGTGCGTCGAGGGTCGCAGTTGGACGAGGAGGACGACGAGGAGGACGACGAGGAGGAGGAGAGGAGATGAGGAGAGGAGAGGAGAGGAGGAGCAGGCAACTGACATAAAATCTAACAACCCTCACCTGGCAGGTGGGGAAAAAACTGTCACATTGGTGGTCACCCAAATCCATCTACGACGTTTTTTTTTTGCATCCCCAAAGTTGCTTGGCCGAACACCATCACAGACAAAGAATTCTGATTGATTTTAGGATGTAAAATCACTGTGTGAAACCCAGTTCACCTGGGTTTTGATCCTTAAATACATGCATCAACTATCATCAACTCAAGGAAAGATAGGAAAGGAACAGCGAAAGACTCGACTGCAATATCCGGATGTAAAATCGATGGACCCAGGGTGAGTCCTAGCCGAACCTTGGCTTGCACTCCAAGGTCAGGTGAAGATCGTTGCTTCGTTTTTTCAAGGGTTTGCTCCATATTTAGCTAGGTTGGTTAATAACTTGGTTAATTGTGATTTATGATATTTATAGTGGATATGTCTATAGTGATATACTGTAACTCGGTTTATGCACATAACTTGGAAGGTAGCACCTTGCACCAGCTCACACCACCTTGCAGGACTTGCTCAACCAACGAGTAGATGGGTATTTCTGCATCCTCTCCAGGTGAAAACCGAAAGATCCTCTCGGGCCAAAGTCCCTCCTGAGAAGACGCCTGAGAAACCCGAAGCTTGGATATGGCCTGGTGGTGGGTGGATGGAACCTCAACTTGGATCTGAAATTGGGGACTGTAAGCTCTAGTGGAAAATGATTCTAGATGATTCTAGTCTCTTCCCACTTGAACTCCACATAGTTTCTTCCTGCAAAATGATGCACAAGTTTTTGTCTTTGTCCGATTCACTCGGGCCGACATCCCCCGAGTGAAAACATCGGTTGATACTCGGAACTCCAGACTGGTTGGATTCGCTGCTCTCAGTTTGAAAGATGGAAGTGATCACGGGCTGATCAAACAGCTTGGGATCTTTGTGATTTCTGATCTTGTTCTCCACCTAAAAAAGGGCCCCAAGAAAAGAAACTTACAGGCAACCAATCCTTTGGCTAAGGAGAAGATTGAAAAGACTTCGAAGCCCATTGAAAAGACCAAGATCGAAAAGGCTGAAAAGGCCCGGCATGAACTGCATGGGATTTGGACCGAGCAAACATTCTTTTTGGATGTGACCAATTGGAAAAAATGGGAAGTAGTCCCAAAAAATCGGACCAACCCGGGATATGAATATGAGCGAACAAGAATAGACAACGTTAGGGGATTCAAAAAAGGGATCGCCTAGAATGTCCATGCTTTCCGAATTTGCTGTGGGAAATGAGCTGGGTCCAATGCTCCCAGGTTCCCAGTTATGCCAAACCCGACGCATGTTGATGGAAGGCGGAAGCGAAAGCAGAAAAGAAGGAGAAGGTTGATGCTTGGCGGAGCGACAGGAAGGTCCGTGATGTGCCGTATGTGTTTTCTCCAAGGACTCAGAGGATGGCTGTTTCTGATTGCGAATCCAAGGCAAATCTGCACGTTACAAATTTGAATCACACATTGCAGCAAGCGGCGTTGGAGAGGTACGGCTTTTCTTCTTTCCATTCCATTTGGAACGCATATCATTTCCAACTGCTGGAACACGCTTTTGAGCAACTTCCAATCGGAATTCCCAGCCATCACAATTTTTGAGGGAGCGGAGGCGCCATTTTTGAGTTCAGCCAAGGAAGTCAAGTCGGAGAAATCCGACAAAGTGAAACATGACAAGTCCGACAAGGCGGGGGAATAGGTTTGGTGTTGTGTACCTTGAACAATCGAAGCAGTTGGTTTCTCGGTGTATCCCAGGAAAAGAAGTTGAAGAAGGACAAGAAGGCCCTGCCCTTGGATGGCCATCCTAAAACCTTCAGAAGTTTTTTTTTTGTGCCTGATGTAAGGAGAAGAAGCACAAGAAGGACAAAAAACACAAGAAACACAAGAGACGTGAGCACAAGAAGTGTCTCAACTGCAAGCTGCCATGCTCTGCAACTAACAACATCTCTTCAAACAGCTTGAAACTGTTCGCATCTTGGGTTTTGGTTTCACAATAATAGTGTTCTTACACCTGTGGCCGGGACCATGATCTCAAATTCCAACTGCCTCCGATGTTCTTCTGGGGTGCTTGGAGAAATCTCAGCTGTTGTAAAGTCGCTCAACCAGTTGGCCATGCGGACTGCCAATTCAGCATTTGGGGCACAAAGGACGAATAAGAGACATCGTGACATCCTTTGGCTGCAGTTTTAATGTTGAAGAGCACACCGTTTTTGTTTAACGCTTGTTTTGTGTGGAGCAACAACTTCTGAAAACATTTACTTCAGTTCCATCTGTCAAGCTTCGCAGGGACAATTCAGACGATAAGTGGACATGCATGTGCAAGTGTTGCAGTTCTTGTTCTTGGTTGCTTTTTCTCTTCTTTTTCTTCTTGATGCAGAATAGTCAATATGCCACTAGTACCCAGTGATTGCATTACATAATCATTAGCTCATAGATATGCTTAATGGGAGTATCATTCCATAGTTGCTGATGGCACTGGTGCAGTGTTCCGCCCAGGTCCGAGACGCAAGGATCAGGGATGGGATGGATGGCCTGGTGGCGAAACAAAATCGGTAATGTTGTTAAATGGAGGTTTCCTAAAATGGATGTTCCATTATAAACCAACCATTTTGGGGATTCCCCATAGACATGGAAAACCCCAAACATTTATGGGTGGTTAACGATAACTTTTCTGTTTAAATCTTTTTAACACTGTTTAACAATAGTGAAATATAAGTTTCAAATGTCTTCGGAGATAAATGGAGATGATGGGGGGAATATCGTATTCGATTGATTTGCTTCCCAATCAAAATTCTTTGACTAAGGCCTAAGTTAGGAAGCAATGAATCTGTTTGGATGGTGCTTTTCTTTGATTTGATTCTTGAGAAGGGACCAGGGTGCGAAATCCCTGACAGTTGATGTGGAACCTGAAGAAGGTACCCCTAAAAAACATTCTTTTCATTTTCCAAGCAGATGGGCAGTCTCGTTTCCACATATCTTTGGATGTGGATGTGCCGCTCGATGTGTCCCGAAAGACAGGAACCAAGAAGCCTCCAAGGTGGGGCCCGTCACGAGAACAGAGAGAACATGTGGGTCCATTGCCCCATGGACGACCTGTTTGAATCTATTTGAGCGATCTCTTCTGTAAAATCTGTAAAACAGAAACCTGTTTCTGTCTGGCTCGCTCTCTCTCTCTCTCTCTCTCTGGCTAGATACGTTTGGCAGTACTCAGTACGTGCTTCCACGAAACTTCTTCCAGTGTTTTTTTTTGAACAAGAAGGTGGTCCGAACCATATTTTTTAAGCTATTTCACCATGGGATATCTCAACATTCTCAACATTCTCAAAATGGGGTCTGAAAATCGGGTGTCCCTTCACTTCATCATTTTCCCACTTGAAATATCTAAAATCTAACACAATCATGATTTGGGGGTTAAATCGCCCATGTTCAGACACCCAAATTCAAAGTTTGACCAACCACAACTGATGGCAACTGCTTCATTTGCCACGGCCCCATGAATCGCGCCTTGTGCCTTTGGAGGTTGTCAGCGTCTCGCATCAGAGAACTTCTAAGGCATGAACGCTGCTGCGCTTCCCTGAAATAGGGGGCAACCACTAGATTCTGCTGGCGAAATGCTGCCAGCTGCCACTTTCTTTGTCCAATTTTAGAAAACATGCATGGTGTGTCAAGGATGTATGGCAGCTGGAAGAGGTGTTGATTCACTTGGGATTTCATTTTCTGGCTACTTGAGTATATAGAAGCACTTGTTTGAAAACATTGGAGCAATCTGACGATGCTGAAGAGCCGCACCGGACAGGTCCAAAGTAAAGAACTTTGCCCAGCTGGCATGGTTTGGAAAATACATACAGCCTTTGGCACCTGACTTATGGCATATTATGGCATGTTTTTTTGGTTTTGAATCTTTTTTCCCCACATGTTTGTGTGGGGTTCTTGTTTTTGATTCTGTATCCTGCTCCCGGCCCCGTCCGCTCCGCTCACCTTTGTCACACACCATCTTTCACACACAACTTTGTCACACACCATCTCACTCACACAACTTTGCCACCCACCATCTTTCACGTGGCAGGCGTGGCACTTGCGGCACTGGGCTGGCTCTGGTGGCGCGCTTGGGCGCGCACTTGGGCGCCCGCTTGGGCGCGCTTGGTCGCCCAGGGTGCCGCGCCACTTTGCATGGCAGGCGTGGCACTTGGTGACATGGCAGGCGTGGCACTTGGTGACATCCACCTTGGTTTCGCGTGGCAGGCGTGGCACTTGGATCACTTGGTGACATCTGCCTTCGTTTTGCGTGGCAGGTGTGGCACTTGGTGACATCCACCATCGTTTTGCCTGGCGCTTGGGCGCGCTTGGTCGCCCGGGGCGCTGCGCGACTTTGCGTGGCAGGCGTGGCACTTGGAGACATCCACCTTAGTTTCGCGTGGCAGGCGTGGAACTTGGTGACATTTGCCTTCGTTTTGCGTGGCAGGCGTCGCACTTGAAGTACTGGGCTGGCTCTGGTGGCGCGCTTGGCCGCGCGCTTGGGTGCCTTGACACCCGCGGCGCCGCGCCACTTTGCGTGGCAGGCGTGGCACTTGGTGACATCCACTTTCGTTTTGCGTGGCAGGCGTGGCACTTGCTGACATCCACTTTCGTTTCGCGTAGCAGGCGTGGGTGGCACTTGGTGACATCCACCTTCGTTTTGCGTAGCAGGCGTGGCTTGGTGACATTCACCTTCGTTTTGCGTGGCACTTGCTGACATCTGCCTTTGTTTCGCGTGGCAGGCGTGGCACTTGGTGACATCCACCTTCGTTTTGCGTGGCAGGCGTGGCACTTGGTGACATCCACTTTCGTTTCACGTGGAAGGCGTGGCACTTGGGGCACTGGGCTGGCTCTGGTGGTGCGCTTAGGCGCGCTTTGGTCGCCCGGCGCCGCGCCACTTTGCGTGGCAGGCGTGGCACTTGGTGACATCCACCTTCGTTTTGCGTGGCAGGCGTGGCACTTGGGCCACTGGGCTGGCTCTGGTGGCGCGAGGAGTGGGACTTGGCGACTTCCACCTTCGTTTTGCGTGGCAGGAGTGGCACTTGCTGACATCCACCTTCGTTTTGCGTGGCAGGTGACATCCACCTTCGTCTTGCGTGGCAGGCGTGGCACTTGCTGACATCCACCTTCGTTTCGCGTAGCAGGCGTGGCACTTGGCGCACTGGGCTGGCTCTGGTGGCGCGATTGGGCGCGCTTTGGTCGCCCGGGGCGCCGCGCCACTTTGCGTGGCAGGCAGGCGTGGCACTTGGTGACATCAACCTCCGTTTTGCGTGGCAGGTGTGTCACTTGGTGACTTGGTGACATCCACCTTCGTTTCGCGTGGCAGGCGTGGCACTTGGGGCACTGGGCTGGCTCTTGCGTGGCAGGCGTGGCACTTTGTGACATGCATGGCAGGCGTGGCATTTGTGGCATTGTCAAACACAAGTTTGTCACACACCATCTGCCACACACAACTTTGTATATGACTGTGAATTTTTCGTGGCTCATGCTCAGCGCTGAAATCGAAACATTGTCAAACACTGCTTCACATATATAATATCACGACACGATGTGAAAGTTCGAAGCATTGTCAAACACTGCTACACATAATACAGTATCACGACACGATGTGAAAGTTATTGTCTATGACAGATCGGCAACACCACGCCGCAGCAGAAACAAAAGGTAGTAATTCAGCCACTCGGTTCAAAACGGTCTAGAAGCGATGCTGGCATGTTTTGGCATGTTTCGCTTTGGCCCAACGCGGGAAGAGGCCTTGTGCATGTTTGCTAAAAACGTTCTGGAAGCGATGCTGGCACATTTACGTTCTGCAAGCGATGCTGGCACGTTTCGGCATGTTTCGCTTTGGCCCAACGTGGGAAGAGGCCTTCTGCATGTTTGAACAAAACAGTCTAGAAGCGATACTGGCACGTTTCGGCATGTGTCGCTTTGGCCCAACGTGGGGAGAGGTTTTGTGCATGTTTGATCAGCATGGTCTAGAAGCGATGCTGGAATGTTTTCGCATGTTTCGCTTTGGCCCAGCGTGGGAAGAGGCCTTGTGCGCGTTTGATAAAAGCGGTCTAGAAGCGATGCTGGCATGTTTTGGCATGTGTCGCTTTGGCCCAACGTGGGAAGAGGCCTTGTGCATGTTTGAGCAAAACGGTCTAGAAGCGATGTTGGCATATTTTCTACGTTTCCGGCCAGGTACTATTCTCATCCGTCCTGGTCGTCGCGCCTGTGGCTGTAGGACTGTCGGCTTTTGATTTTTCTTTGCTGTCAGGCGCTGGCCCAAGATGCTGGAGCCCACGTGCAAACCAGGCGCTTAAGTTTTTGGTAGACCACTTGCTTTGCTATCAGAGTTGTTCGATGTTTTGTCCATGTTTTGGTAGACCGCTTTCTTTGCATGTCGCTCGCATTGCTGCCAGGCACCTGCTGGATGTCACACGCGATGAAAGCGACGCTGTTCGCATGACCTTCACTGAGATTCCTTGAGGGCAAGATGTGTTTCTGCTTGATACGTTTTTGCGTGTGCATATCTTTGAGTATGCGTGAAGAACCATTTGTTGCAGTGAAAAAAATATCTTCGCCAGCAAGGAGTGCGCAGTAGCTTCGGCCGTGCAGTGTTGTCAAGTCTTTTCTGTTTGGAGATAATGTTGTTTACACCCTTTAAAGCATGGGTTGATGCAACGTGCGACGTTTCATTTCTATTGTCATGTTAAGATTTTTGGTGACATTGGGGACTTGGCAATGCTTGTGACACTTGCGTGTGGAGATTGCTGTAGAGCCGATTGCATCGCACAGTGATGTCTTTCATTTGCTTCGTGCAAAAGGGCGAGGCTGGATCTTGTTGGTCTTTGCGCGCCATCTTTCTTTGCAACACACCGTTTTTCACATGCAACTTTGTCACACACAACTCTTCACATACAACTTGTCTTACTTCTCGATCCTCCACCACCTCCTTTGTCTTTCCTTCCTTCCCCTTCCCCGCTACAACATTTGTTGCTCATTATTGGAAGAAGTTGACTTGTGGGTTATCCGGTCCTCTAATTTCTGGATAGATGGTGGTTGGTTCATCCTTCAAATGGGTCATGTCCTAATGAGACATTTTATCAGTCCCTGGACCTGAAATATAGGTGATCTGGAGTGGTTCATACAGTCACCTGGAAGTCTTCTGACACACTGACTCTGCCTCCCATGACGAATCTTTCTGCAGCTAGACATGTGCAAAACACTGGGTGCCAATGGACCCACCATCTTGCCAATTTTTCTATTCAACCACCAGGGTCAAGAATTTTGAGCCATGGCCAAATATCATTGGAAAGGAAGGACAAAACAAAACCAATTTAATTATAAAACTGAAGAGATATTGAGGACTTCCCACGACCCAAGAAATCTGGCTGCCCCCCGAATCCGGCAGGCCGGGGGGAAACACGCTTATCGCAAAGATGAACAGGGGCTCCTTGGCGGCTGCAGTGGCAGTATACAAGGGCTATTCAGTTGACCAACCCCCAAAAAAAACAATGACACCAGGATTCCTCTCCATTCCAGATCTGCACGAGCCCTGAGGCTATTCATCCGCCTGGATTCCAACAGGCACAGTGGAATGGCGGCAGCAACCTTAACATCCTTCAGCATGTCCAATCTGCTTCAGGAAAAGGGAGTGTACCTCCGTGTACATGGGGGTGTCTCCAGCGCCGGGCCAGAACAAAGACGGCAGCAGGCGCGTTTTTTCAGGATGGTTGACTATAGTTACAAGTCCTCCACGCGAAAGATGCGAAAGTGGTTGTTCTGCAGCCATTCCTTTTGACACTGTGAAAAACTGTGAAAACATCACGCGAAATACAACGGCTGAAGTTCTCCTGAAACGATCTTCAGCAGGTCAAGTGTTGGTGGGATCCAGCAATTCCCAGCTATCTGTGAAGGTTATATTATATATTATATTGTGTTGTATTCACCTCGCTGGCATTCAGCATTGTTGGTCTCATTCCCATCAGATCTCTCAACTCTTGTTTTTCTTGTAAGTTGTATCCCTATGTTCATTGGTTTGTATAGATATATTATATATCCATTTGTTTGGTTCATGTTCTTATTTTCCTACAGTTCTATCATGTTCTATCCCCAAGCCGTTGATCATGATCTTATTTGGTTGACACTGGTAGTCCTAAAAATATCCTTTCTTTCAATACCTGAAATGATCCCAAGTGACTTGACTCTTGTTATTTTTGGTTTGATCTCATGGTTTATCTCCCCGTATGATTCAATATGATTCATATCATGTGAGATGAAGTTACGTCCAACTTCTGCGTACACCGATGCATACAAGTGTTGTTGATATCCCCACGTCGGTTTCATCCGTTGATGTTCTTCGCGTTCACCACCGAGCGGGACGTGACAGGCCTGCTTGGCGGGCTCGCTACGAAGGAACTACCCTTGGCACCTTCGACACAGAAGAGGTGGGGGATGGTGCCTTCACTGCCTCAAAGTTTGGCAATGTTAACCCAAATTGTGAAATTCCCTAATTTTGAGACACCTATACATTCAATAAACAATCGGCTTCACAGACGCAAATTTTGTTGAATCCCAAGGTTTTTGGGGTTGAATCCAACCCTCACTTTTGTTGACGGCTCCGACCCATGGGCCCATGGCTCCAAAGGAGGCGGCCCAAGCCTACGCCAAGGATGGGGATCGGGGGACCGGTGTAAAAAAACTTCCGTCACTTGACATCAATAATCATTAATATAAACTGTTTATTATAAACTGATAGTAATCCAATGTAATCCATTAGTTATGATATGTTATGATTAATATGATTAATATGATTAATCCATAATAATCATAACTAATCACTACAAAAAGTGGTGGATCCCCTTTGTATATCATTTTTCCCTCCTACGAGACTCAAAGCTCACTTTTTGACGGCTCACTTGTATCAGAAGAGATCCAAATTCTTCCCGCAAGCTCCATATGATGAGAAGGGTTCCCTTTCGAACGTGGAGATGTTCTCCCATGGTCGTGGGTCCCAGCCAAATGTTTGACCTCTTTCGCCAGGCCCGCGCTGAGCATGAGAAAAATGGAGGCCTCAACTGCGACCGAATCAGCTGGTGCATTCAGGATCTACCGGCCCGGACCGGGTCATCAGTCTCGTTGGCGAAAAAACAATCTGAAGAACATCATTCACGCGCCAATTATCGAAGATAAGATAAAACCAATCTCAGGTGTGGCACATGTTGACACGGCCTCACACGGTTCACATGGATGCAAGAAGATGCTGCAGTGATTCCGCGGAGAATGGAGAAACTACAGGAAACTCTTGCAAAAAGCGTACGTATCTCGCTTTCTCTAGGGCTGCTTCCGTTTACTAAGTAAGCAACCGACATGGACCACAGCACTCTTGGGTATGTGGCATGCGGATTTTCCAAGGATCTATTTTCATGTTTCCATTTGATGCAGGCCTCTTGACAGGAACTCCAGCTAGTGCCGAAAGATGCCATTTCTTTATTCTTGTTCTCCAGATGCGATGTGGCTCTGCAACTAGCTATCCCCCAAAGTGATTTCAGTACGTTCATCCCAAATAGGTCTATAATACCCAAGAATAAACTATTGGGGATATCGCTTATTATTGGGTTCACTAATGTTTAATGTTTACCACATTTCTACCCACTAAAACCAAGCGCGTTTTTGTGGCTCCAGCAGGGCTCGCCGCCTTCCTGCTGCAGGCAGCCCTGGCTCCAATGGAGTGAAGCGTCCGTCTCCCACGCCACAGGTGCCATGATCATACGATGCTGGTTCTGATCAGGAACCACAGGAAATACATGACGAAGCCAAGGGAAAACAAGTTTGCTCACTGGAGTGAAGCGGAGTGAAGCGGAGTGAATTCAGCCACCTCATCAGGAGAAAGAGGCAAGCCCAAACAAGGCATGGCGGGGACATATATTTCAACTGTTCACTCTCATGCACCAAAGATTGCCGGTTGAACAGTGAAGAAAAACCTTGGTTGATTGGTTATGTGTAGAAGATATCTACAGGGGGTTATACAACCTGGTTTATTGGGATTTTGTTGGGCCCAATAAATCTACGATGGACAATAAACCAGGTTGTATAACCAATTGGATATTTACCATATATATGTATATATATATATATCTATTGGACCAATTCCATTGCTACTGAGCCAGGAACCGGACAAGATTCCGGATAGCCTGCAAGCGACCGTGGAGGTTCTTCAAAGGCCACGTGTTCCAACAGGGATGAATTCTAGGGATACATTGGGAGCTATGGTTTTTCCTGATTCAAGAATTAGATTTTCATGTGAACTTTCACCTAAACTAGTTGAGACCTGATACCAAGTTTGACATGAGGGACCTGAATGCCAGGTCTATATTGTTGCAGCTGTTGAACTGCCTCCCCCACCCCTTTTGAAGGAGTGGTTCAGGATGTTCCCAAGGACTCTCCCACCATCCATCTGCCTGAATGGATGTTGTGTTTTTTGTTTCATCGAGGCAAATCAACGAATTGAAACCCCAGCAGCTTGACAAGTTGATTGAGTACTTCAAGGCGATTTTGGTTGGCTTCTGCTTGGGCTTGGGCAGGGTGCGGCCTGTGTTTGTGTTTGATGAACACTTGCCAGCAGAATTTGGTTGAAATCAACACGAGGACAGCCCTACTCTGATTTTTCAAACTGGGAGCAGGCGATCAGATCTATCAGAATAGGAAACAAAACTGTTTGAATCTGTTTTTTGCTGGGGAGAAAAAAGTGGAAGGGTGTGGCCGTGTGTGGGGTTTATAAAACTGGGCAGGCTGACATCACTTGGCGAGCAGATGATGCTGAGGACAACAGTTGGAGGGTTGATGATTCCCATAACTCTGTGCTGAATTTCTAACATCCTCAGTGGTAGAATCATATTGCCTCCCTAAAATCAATGCCCTGGTAATCACCTGGTAATCACCTGGTAATCAACAGATCATAACAGATTAAGTTTTCAGGAATGGTGCCCAGCTATGCCCAGCTATGCCCAGCTCATCATTTTTCCATGCCAGGATTTCAACTTTGACTTGAAGACCTACTCCGTACCACGACTCCGTGAACTCACCAGGCTGCAACATGCTCCAACATGCTCCAAAAAGCTCCAACAAGCTCCACCGGGTCTTATTGGTAGGTCATATCGACAAATACGTGCACACAACGCTTTATTTATTTCTCGTTTGTTGTCAAAGGAAGTTGGGAAGCAATACTTCCGTGCTACGGACAAATAGAATTGTGAGACTTGACCTTGATGAAGGGTGGTGTGAGTGGCTACATCACGTAACAATACATCACAAAAGAATTGACCTTGATGAAGGGCGGTGTGAGACTTTGCATCATATAACAATACATCACAAAAGAATTGACCTCGATGAAGGGCGGTGTGAGACTTTACATCACATAACAATACATCACAAAAGAACTGACCTTGATGAAGGGCGGCGTGAGACTTTACACTACATAACCATACATCACAAAAGAATTGACCTGCATGAATGTTGCATGAGGCTTGTGTTGGGGAGGAAGCCGGAGCACGAAACCTTGTGTTTTTCCGTGTAAAGTGGCTGCAGCCGGCGATGAAAGGTACCTCGTGTGTGCGGTGGTTGCGGCTGCGGTCGTTTCATGCGCGAATTGGTTCCTCCTCTGTGTTCTGCAACAAGTGGTTGTTCCTGTGTGCGTAGTTCTATGCGTTTCTTGAATCTCTGGTTGCGGATCGCATTGGAATGGCCGCATGATTGTTGTCATGCTCTGTTGCCATGTGCATAGAGCACGTGATGCTGCGAAACGCATTGTAATGGCTGCATGAATGTTGCATGGGGCTGGTTTTGGGGACGAAGCCGGAGCACGAAACCTTGTGTTTTTCCGTGTAAAGTGGCTGCAGCCGGCGATGAAAGGTACCTCGTGTGTGCGGCGGTTGCGGCTGCGGTCGTTTCATGCGCGAATTGGTTTCTCCTCTGTGTTCTGCAATTTCTATGCGTTTCTTGAATCTGTGGTAGCAGATTGCAGTGGAATGGCTGCATGATTGTTGTCATCTGGTGTTGCCACATGCGTAGATCTGTGCAGGTTTGCAATAGTGAGAAGTGTGAAGGGCGAAGTGTAGCTTCAAATGTGACATGTTTCGCAGAATGCACGCACGCACGGGCTTGGCTGGCGCACGGCGCATGCAAGTTCTATAGATGAGAAAGGTCTTACATATCCCTAAGGCAACTTCCGCCCCGCCTCGTGCGGGTACTACTGGTACTGTATACACATATTTACTCATAGTTACGTAAGACTATGCAACTATGTATTATTATTGTTATTGCTAAGTTATTTTTTTAGAGATAATTTAACAACAATATAACAATAACCGAACAAGTATTTAACAAATATATATATATAGATATATGTATATATCTATATAGATAGATATATATATATATCTATATATATATATCTATATATATATAGATAGATAGATATATATATAGGGCATTATTTTACATATCTGATCATATTTGCAGATCACCCCTGCCGCGATCGAAGGCTGATCCGGCAAGTCCGCGCGGAGGAGGGGCGCTGAACGCGGGCTTTACGGGGCCATGTTTAACGGCCGTGATTTTTGTGGGTTGTGGATGGAAATTTGGAGATTTCTCATTTTCCTAGATGATAATCTAATCTTGATCAATAGAATTGATCTTATTTTCTAAAAACTTGATCAATAGTTTTGTTTTGTGATTTCTAAAGATGTTTCATTTTCCATCTTCGTTTGTGATGATCCCCAGGGGTAGGACCATTGGTTTCCAGGAAAGTGTCCTGTTCGATCAACAGGGGGTAAACAAAAGGTTACAGATGCGCTTTAAGCAGGCTCAAAAGTCGATGTGACTTTCACAAGAGGTGAATGCACGTAGAATGTTGCAATGTTTCAAGGCTGCGAATACTTTGGATGCAAATGAGAGGCACGATGACCGCGGTATGGGGGATATTTATGGTGTTAATGTCTCCAAAGCGAATAAAATAAAATTTGTCAATGATTTCCAGGTTCCAGTGATTTTCAGGAGGGTGCTCAAGTTGATAAATCCATTCATGGTTTCATGTGGGATCAAAGTTTGAAACCTCCAATCTCAGCTGATCCTTACAGGTTGCGCCTCCAGCAATCCAAACCAGCAGTGTCACAAAGCGAACGCCTCAGAGAAAAACCAACATCTACCCTCTGGTATTTAACATAGCTATTGAACATACCCCATTTCTAGTTGATTTACCTATAAAAGATGGTGATTTTCCATAGCTATGTTAGTTTACCAGAGGGTATCCACCGAAAAATCAATATGTAATTTGTTGACATAGCTTACCTTGAGTCAAAAGTCATAGTGGCACCCACGATTCGTTGTGATTTGAAAGAGAATCTACATAATAAACTTCAATAAACCATGGTTGCGCGATTTCGCCCGTGAAATGATACGGGAGAAACCAATATGGGTGGTTCGTTAAGATGCTACATTACATGGATATATGATATGTATATATATATAATACACATACACTTTCCCTATTTTTCCTTATTGAACCACATTGAAGGCCACTAATTTCCATCAGGAAACCAATTGTTGAGGTGCACAACTGGCAGCCATGAATCCCCAGAACGAGCCTGGCAACCTGGAGCCGAGTCGTGATTCAAAAATGCAGTGATTTGAAGTCGTGTTTTTTTGTTGTATTGCTCAAGAATTCATGAAATGTCATGAGAATTCATGAGGATTCCCGAGAATTCATGGAAATTCATGAGAATCTTCAGAAGTCATGAGAATTCAAGAGAATACACGTGTTTTTTTACCATAGAATATCACAGAATTCCAGTATTTTCTGGAATCCCATAATTCCATAGAACTTCCATAGAATTCCATCAAATTCCATCAAGACTTCGAGGAACGATGGCACAGCTTTCCTCTGACTGTCCTCGAGGCGAGAACTCCAGGACAAGATCAGGGAGCTCGAACAAAAGAATCAGAACCAGCAGAGGTGCCCTGGTGGATGTCATTTCAGTATGAGGATGGTCGCGATGGTACCCACCCAAACATATGTAGGCTTGATAAAAAATATCTTTCAACAGATATAGTCCGTTATATTGCAATGTATACCCAAGATGTGCTCAATACATCTCGAATATATGCTCAATGTTATTCAGTATATATATATATATATACATAGTTCAGTATACACACAGCATTCCAATACCAATATCTAACATTCTGACAATTTCAGAAGAATTAGCATGACATTGCCCACTTGCACTGCAAGCTGTGGAGTTTGGGAGGCAAATCGAAGAGCAGAAGGTCCAAATGATGCAGATGCAAGTGCCAGCCGTGCAAGCGGCACAGGCGACTCCACGTGATTTGGTCATGCATTCGCTTGTCATCAATTCAGTCATGTCACATGTCATTCCAAGTTTTCTTGGTCAGGCACAAGTGCAAGTGCAGGTGCGGGTGGACAGGGTAGAGGAATCATTCAACCGTGAGAGATCGATTTCCTGCAAAAATGCGGTGTTTTTGTCTCCTTGGGGCACCCTGCTGACCATAGCCATAGCAAGAGCTGTGCCCAGGATCCGCGATTTCCTCCAGGCCCGCCGCGAAATTGCATCAACTCAGGTAGCAACAGAAATTGGACTACAGAAACTACAGATCTGGGGAATGGTGATGGTTGGGATATGTTTATGTTGGGATGCTTCTCCTTTGCCATTTTGGAAGGCGAAAATTCACAGATCCTGATCCCCTGAATTTTCCCGAGGTCAGAACAGCTTTGGAGGCAGTGGGTGGCCCAGACGGCCTGGATGTCAGTTTTTTTGATTAAATGGGCAGTATATTGGCATGCCACAGGGTGTTGAACGGTAGGATAGATGAAATAGCTGTTGGCAACTTAGAGTTGGCAGTAGACTTGTGGGAAGACCATCGATGATTCACAGAGTCTTGGGGTGTTGCAAAATACTCTGCATCTGTGATCATTTGTGCCTTGATGAAAAAAATGGGCTGGGTTAAAGTTTGCACAACTTGGTGGTCTAAAACTAGACCGGGTGAGGTTCCAGCTCCACTCGCCCGAATGAGACGTGGAAGGTCGCGCAGGTGTGCGGGTTTCAGGGGTGGGAAATGGTGGGAAATGGTGAGAAATGGTGGGAAACGGTGGGAAATCAGGCCAACGCTGTGTTTCAATAGGGGTAGCTTGGATTCATGGTCATGTTGGCGAATGACTTTCTCAAATCCGGAGCTGTGATTTGCTGCAAATCTTCCGTGGGTCAAGAAAGATTTTGACTGGGTACGCTGTTTTTTTTTGGATAAGATGAAGAGTCTGAAGCTTAGGGATCATTACCGTAGTTGAGATTCAGACCCTCACCGGCGCACCGGCTTGGGTTTTGGGATATATATATATATTTATATTATAATATTATAATATATATAATATAGATTATATATATATATATATATGATCCAAACTTTATTCGACCTGTTGGCACCTCGAGAGCAGATTCCCGCACTGGATCTTGGTCAGGTCCTCCCCTTGATGTCACACAGTCTCTTGATGTCCCTTGTTTCATTTGGGTTTGTCGGAACAGGCCCCAAAAGTTAGAACATTAGGATACATTAATTAAGTGCGGCATTACCCACTTAGTTGTTGTTCCCCCAGTATAAGAAACTGATTGCCCAAAATTTCGAACATGTTCGTCCCCAAAGTTCAGACTGCCAGGAGGCTATGTCCCAGGCTTTGCACGGCAGCCATCCAGCAAGTGGGGGGCTCAGGGGATGCCAAGGTTGTCCTTTTTGTAGATTCGGGGATCATTTTAAGCAGCTTGGGAGGATTTTCGCAGAGATGGATTTTGGGATATTTTGGGGTTTCTTTTGGGATATTTTGGATATTTTTCCAATGTTTTTTGGGATCTTTAATTCTGAAACACCATCTTTTGGGGGATCAACAGCAGCCATTTGGATGTTCCCCAGGTCTTCCACCAGGTGGCCGATGGCCTGCAGGTGTGGGATGGGTTGCGGATGGTGGAAATATGTCGAAGGTTTCTTGATTTGGTTTTAGATGGTTCACTAATCGGAGAATGATGAGTTTCCATTTGGAATCTAGATAATATCTAGATTCTATATCTACCGGTGGCAACTCAGAGGAACTGCGTCATCAAAGTGGGACTAGGAACTGTTGGGCGAGACTATTCCGGATTCCAGCGAATCTTTTGAAAGGCAAGACAATATATTGTCTATATTGGTTTATCTGAGGGTATCCCAAATTCTGTTGGTTAGTAGAACGTTTTCAGGTTTTTAATAAGTATTTGGGGGTATACTCCATTTCCATTTCCATACCGATATTGGTGCACAGAAAGATCAAGGGCTGAAGAAAATCTCTCTGAAGCTCCAATGACTTGACAACACGTCGTCGTCAAAGATGTCAAAGTACAGCTTCGCAATTTTTTGGCCCTCAGTTATTCCAGAATATTCCACGTTTAATTTCAATTTATTCCCCACTTGTATAGTTCCCATCATTTCCCATCTCTGTCCAATGTACACAGTCCTGTGAAATCTCAGCAAGATGTCACCCGTCGAGGTTACATTGGCGATGGTGGCGGCTGGGTACCCGGAGGATTGGGGGCAACCCAATCCATGGTCCATGTACGTTTGCCTGGTGATGCATCTCATCCGAATCACTTGTTGAGTCAAGTTGAGTCATTTCCAAGGGAGGTGGCATGGTTTGGATGGGAACGGTATGAATACTGAATATATATATATATATTGTATGCCATATAGTGTATATATATATATATAATAAATTTTACAGATATATATATATCAACTGTATTTAAGTGTATACTGTATATACTATTACCATCTAATCATAGCAGCTATATCCAATCCCTTGCGATGCAGGAGAGCCTCCGAAGAATGCGCAGCCACCAGCAGTGCCTGGGATGCATCATCCAGTGCCGAGCCATCCACGTTCAACACATGTAGTTAAATGATGTATTTGTACACTGGTATTATGATTCATACAGCCTACAGCTCTTTATTCTGTAGTATTAAAGAAAAACATCTAAGAATGCTTTATTATATATATGATGTATTAGTATGATATTTTTTGTATCATGCATATGTAGGATGTACGGGTATTTGACATGTATTTGGGTGTTGTGTTTTCCTGGCTTTTGTTCGGTCAAATGTCTACGAGCTACAGTAGTCTTTGACATTGCTCAAACCTGACAACTAGGGGAGAGTGGTATCAGGAATTGACCATTTGACCAGCAGATACGAGCAGATCTAATTGGGAAATACGACAAGTGTCCGCTAGAAACAACGATATTCTCACCGAATTGTGGTGACTCTTAGCCGAGAAATAGAGGTCCGACACCTAAAGATTGACCCAACTGCTCGACAGTTGCAGCGCTGTAGATACCACCTGGTGATACTGAACCACCTGGTCGCTGTGTGGAGACTTGTCGATGTGGTCAGGCACCTCTTGGGTCTGACACAAAGGGGCAACTGGGTGACTCCGGAAAGGTTGAACTCTTTGCGATTTTTAGTGTTTTTTAAATGGTTTTCAATGGTTTTGAATGGTTTAAACATGTCTTCAACAGTTCTTCTTTTCTCTCCTTGATGATGCACCATGGCAGGTGGTGAGCCGTGCATGGGAGGTGGAGAAGCCCTGGCTGAAAGACGAGGTTTTTCGGCTTCGCGGGTGGATATGACCTGAGCAATAGCTGCAATAAGATGGAGTGGAACGGAGACACACACGCACATATATATATATATACATATGATACACATATATATATATATATCATGTATCATATATATATATATATAAAAATATGACATATTATGTATAAATATCATATATGATATATATATATATACATACATATGTATGATACATGTATAAATATATATGACACATATATATATATATATATGATATATATATATGATACATATATATATATATGATACATATGTATATGTATGATACATATATATGTATGATACATATATATGTATGATACATATATATCATATATATGACACACACACATATATATGATATATATATATAAATATATCATATATGATATACATATATTTGAAATACACACATGTATATATGATATATATATATATATATATGTATATATATATGATATATATATATATGTATATATATATGATATATATATATAAATGACACATATTTGTATATATATATATATGTATACATATGATACACATATACATTTAATATATGATGTATGCAAATATATATATATGATATATATATATGATATATATATATGATATATATATATATGATATATATATATATATGATATATATATATGGTATATATATATATAGATGATATATATATATATGATGTATATACATACATACATACATACATGCATGCATGCATGCATACATACGTACATACATACATACATACATATGATATATCATATATTTATATTTAAATATACATACATGATGCATGTATATGCATATATATATATGTGATATATATATATCTGATATATATATATTCGTATATATATATATATCTATACAAAATACATGTATGTATGTAATGTAATGTAATGTAATGTAATGTAATGTAATGTAATGTAATGTAATGTAATGTATGTCATGTCATGTCATGTCATGTCACATCACATCACATCATATCATATCATATTTACATATTGTATATATATATACTGTGTATATATATATATATCTCATATATATATATATATTATGTATATATGTTATATATATATTTACATGTTGTGACACACCCATTTAAATCCCACATGGTGGTTGATAGCCAACTAGGCAGCAATGGGTATATTGATATACTGGGGTTGTGACCAACTTAATATGCATGGCTAGGTTTGTTTGAAAATGGGCTACCCTCGAAGTTGATAGCGGATGATCACTTTCCATGCCCTATTTTGGACAAACCCATCTTGGGAAGGCAGTGGCAGCACCCTGGTCAGAATGGAACATCTACCACTTAGTTCGATGATTTTCCCAGCTGTAAAGCTCCATTCATAGTGGTTTTTCCCAATATTTTCCATGACTTTCCTATGATTTTCCCGCCTATAAAACCTCCATTTAGACCACGGGGATTTCCCAGCCAGCCACGTTTGACCCCTGAGGGTAGCCATCACAACCAGCGTCCAGGCCAGGGCTATGGCCATCATGGCTGCCATTCATCGCTTTGAAAGCTCGGCAGCCCAGGTTGGCACCGATGATTTTGAGTTCTTTTACAACTATAGGGTGACCTAATAGGGTGGCCATAGTTGTGGATTTCTACGGATTCCCGACATTCTATTAAAAGTACACAATGCTTGTTATGACATGCAATATTATATTGTATAATACTTGTTATTAATTTGTTATCCATAGTACCCATACATATTCTGGACTAATGTTGATGTGTGGGTCAACCAGATTCTGCGGCCTTGGTTCATGTCTTTTTGCACCATTGGGAGGCTGCAAATGTCTACAATTTGGTGATGAGAGATGAAGTGAGCATGACAAGAATGATGGTTCTCCCCATGTTTTCCCTAGATTCTTATATAAACATCAACTACATTGAACTACTGATAGCTAATGTAAATATACTTTAGAATTCCTTTAGTAATTCAAAAGTTTTCTACGAAACAGGGCCCTTTTAAAGATTATGGTCCCATGCTGGAACGCCGAGGCCAGCCATCCGTTGAACGCCGTGGCAAAGTCTCAAAGCAGAACCGCTACGAGCCAGTCCCTTGCTGAGATGCTATTGTTGATCGATGGTTTATATTGACTGATTTAAAATATTTTATAATGTATATATGTATGTATATTATATATATAATATTCAATGGGGATTGAACCATTGAATCATCAAAGGAAGTTTAGTTAGAAAACTCTCGAGTTACGGACGATGGTTATGGTTAGCATTCACACCATCATGTCAACCACATCATCATGCCAACCACCCATCACCAAGTAGTTGGAAAGCGCAACAGTTCGGAAGCGGGTGAATTGACGGGTGAAAACACTCTGGGGCGCGAAACCCTGTGTTTTTTCCCGAATGCGTAGCAAGGGTTCCCGTTTCACTCTGGGGGTCTGGGGGTTGAGGGTGTGTTCGCTCGACGTTGCGTTTATGTTCGCAACCGTTCGCAACCGTCCACAACCGTCCGCAACCGTCCGCAACCGTCCGCAACCGTGCGCGTGAGGGCCATATGGCCGTGCCTATGGCAATTTCTGCAGAAGGGGTCATTTTTGGAGGTTTCAAATGTCGCGTTGCTTCGTTTCCCGTGGCAGGCGTGGCACTTCGTGACATTCAGACGTTCTTTGTAACGTTTCGAAAGTCGTTTTGTGTGGCAGGCACAATACTTTTGCGACGTTTTCGCAAGTTGCAGTTTCCGTGGCAGGCGCAGAACTTTGAACGTGTCCAGCATCACTTTGCGTGGCAGGCGCAGGCACTTTAGACGTGTCGTGTTGCGTTTTTTTTTGCGAATCGCATTGTCAGGGCTGGCGACAAGGTGCAAACTCCGTGGCAGGCGTTGCATTTTGTGAGATGTGATGACAATTGACGGAAGCCTCGCACGAAACATCGATTTTGAGGTAGCAAATTTAGAGGTTCATAAGAAAACTCGTAGGAAAACGTCGATTTTGAAGCTACAAAGTGTCAAAATTGGAGGAAGTCTCGTACGAAATGCTGGTTTTTCTGCATCCACGTGTCTTGTCTCGAGTCGCTGGTTTTCCTGTGGCGTCGCCGTGTCTATGGGGGAAGCTGGAAAACATATCCTATTCGAATGTGTCCAAGCAGGTTGTCATGTCGTTTTGCGTGGCAGGTGTGGCACTTTGTAACATTCCAACCTGTTTGATAACGTGTCGAAAATCGTTTTGTGGCAGGCGCAGTACTTTCGCATCGTTTTCGCAAGATGAGTTGCAGTTTTCGTGGCAGGCGCAGCATGTTGGAGATCTCTGTCGTCATTTTGCGTGGCAGGCGCAGCACTTCAAACGTGTCGCATTGCATGCCCTACACTCCACACTCTACACCCTTTACACTTCACACTCCACACTTTACATTCCACACTTTACACTCTACACTCCACACTCTACACTTTACACTCCACACTTTACACTCCCCCCTCCATACACCACACTTTACACTCTACACTTTGCACTCCACACTCCACACTCCACATTTTACACTCCACACTCCACACTTTACACTCTACACTTTACACTCTACACTTTAGAGTCCACACTCCACACTCGACGCTTTACACTCCACACTCTACACTTTACACACTACACTTTACACTCTACACTTTACACTTTACACTCCCAACTCCACACTTTACACTCCACACTTTACACTTCACACTTTACACTTTACACTTCACACCCCACACTCTACATTTCACACTCCACACTCTCCACTTTACACTCCACACTCCGCACTTTACACTCTACACTTTACACCCCGCACTCTACATTTTACACTCCACACTCCACAATCCACACTGTACAGTCTACACTTTACACTCCACATTTTACACTTTACACTTTAGACTCTACACTTTAAAGTCCACACTTTAAACTCGACACTCTACACTCCACACTTTACACCTCACCCTGCACACTCTACACTTTACACTCCACACTTTACACTTCACACTTTACACTTTACACTGTACACTTCACACCCCACACTTTACACTCGACACTTTACACTCTACACTTTACACTCTACACTTTACACTCTACACTCTACACTTCACACCCCACACTTTACACTCCACACTTTACACTCCACACTTTACACTTCACACTCCACACTTTACACTTCACACTCCACACTCTACACTCCACACTCCGCACTTTACACTCTACACTTTACACTTTACACCCCGCACTCTACACTTTACACTCTACACTTTACAGTCCACACTCCACACTCGACGCTTTACACTCCACACTCTACACTTTACACTCTACACTTTACACTCCACATTTTACACTTTACACTTTAGACTCTACACTTTAAAGTCCACACTTTAAACTCGACACTCTACACTCCACACTTCACACTCAACACTTTAAACTCCTCACTCCGCACTCTAAGCTTTACACTCCACACTTTACATCCCACACCCCGCACTTTAAAAAAAACGTTTTACTCTTTACACTTTGCACTCCACGCTTTACACTTGTCACTTTACACTCCACACTCTACACTCCACACTCTACAAACGACAACCCCACCTTACACTCTACACTCCACACTCTACACTTTACACTCCACACTCAACACTTTGCACTTTACACTCCACTCTTTACGCTCCACATTTTGCACTTTACACTCCGCACTCTACACTTTACACTCCACACTCCACACTTTACAATTTACACTCCACACTTTGCACTCCACACTCCACACTCTACACTTTGCACTCTACACTCCACACTTTACACACTACACTTTACACTACACACTCCACATTTTACACTCTACACTTTACACTCCACACTCTACACTTTACACTCCATACTCCAAACTTTGCAGTTTACACTCCACATTTTACACTTTAAACTCCAAACTTTACACTGCACACTCTACACTTTACACTCCACACTCCACACTTTACACTCTACACTTTATACTCCACACTTTACACTCCACACTTTACACTCTATACTTTACACTCCACACTCTACACTCCACACTTTACACTCCACACTCTACACTTTACACTCCACACTGTGCACTCACTCCACACTCCGCACTCCACACTCCACACTCCACACTCTAGACTTTACACTCCACACTTTACACTCTACGCTTTACACTCCACACTCTACGCTCCACACTCCACACTTTACACTTTACACTCCACACTTTACACTCCATATTTTACACTTCAGACTCTACACTCCACACTCCACACTTTGCATGCCACCTTCTTCCATATTCCACAGTCTACGGTGCACTGGTATGGTAACACGGGAAAAATGTACAAGACTGTTCAAACAAACTGTTTCGCACAAGTGTTCTACGTGAGTGCATATCCATGTGTTTCGACATCTGTACCATTAACATAGGTGTGAACATTCGTGTTCGTGGGCTGCATCTTGTTTTTTTTCGGGTAGTGTGGCTCCTGGGGTCGCCGAAGTAGGGTCTCTGTTTCCACGGTTGCAGGCCTCTATCTGGGAAAACTGACGATAAAAAGTGACAGGACTGTAGCAAGAGCTCGATTTGCACCGGAACATGTTTAAACATGTGTAAAAAAAACTAAGGTGCGTGGAAGATGAGGTCGGCAAAATGTGCACGAGACTGTAGCGAGGTCTCGATTTCAGAAAAACACCGCAAAAAACTGGCATGCTCGGAGTAGCGTCGGATTTGTGTAGTCGAGTCCGCACCGTTGACGCTGCGCGAATGTTGGTCGATTTGGTTCGACGCCCCTGCTATTCGGGTTTGCAACCGGCAGTGACAAAACGCATTGGCAAGGCTGCGCGCAGGAAAGCGTTAATAAGTGATGTTGCAATGCTCGTGCTATGCGAAATTGCAGCTGCAGGTTGCTAAGCGCAGTGTAACAGCTGCGCGACGAGAAGAATTGGGTTGCAGAAGCTACGCCAGAGGTAACTCAGAGAAGGAGTAATTAGCTGGGGAAGAGGTGCCTCAGCGAAGAGGCAGCTCAGCGAAGGGGCACCAGCGAAGAGGTGGCTCAGGGAAGAAGTACGTATATAGTTCAACAAAGAAAGTAACTCACTCATCCATCCATCCATGCATGCATGCATGCATTCCTTCCTTCGTTCGTTCGTTCGTTCGTTCATTCATTGGTTCATCGACTCACTGATTCAATGATTCATTGGTTCACTGTTTCGTTCATTCAGTGATTCATCGATTCACTACTTCACTCATTCATTGTTCATTGATTCACTGCATCATTGATTTATTGATTTCTTGATTCATTGGTTCAGTGGTTGAATCGTTCAATGATTCAGTGATTCAGTGGTTCGTTGATTCAGTGATTCATCGACTCTTTGATACATTGGTGCACTGGTGCGTTGGTTTATTCAATCAATTGCATGGACCCTTTCCTGTCTTTTCACTGGAATCTCAACAACCTTACAAAGCCTTTCCTCTGGGCCATTGATATAGCCTATAAATGCCTATAACCACTTCATGTTTTCGAAATTTCTGCCAGGGAATGGGCAGTCATTAGCCTTGTTGGCTGGTGTTTTTTTAGTAGGGTCTGAACCATTTAATTATATATTATATAGGAGCTGTTCACGGCTACTGCGTCAACTTTCAACTTTCAGGCATACTTGGGGATCAGATTGATAGCTGATGATTCTGACAGACCATCATCAATAGGATACCTACAGTATAACCAATCAGTAAATATATAATAATAATAAATACTACTAATAATAATTAATAATAATAATGATAATAATAATAATAACAATAATAATAATAATAGTAATAGTAATAATAATAATTAATAATAATAACAATAATAATAGTAATAATAATAACAATAATAATAATTAATAATAATAACAATAATAATAATAACAATAATAGTAATAATAATAATAATTAATAATAATAACAATAATAATAATAACAATAATAATAATAGTAATAATTAATAACAACAATAATAATAATAACAATAATAGTAATAATAATAACAACAATAATAATAAAACCAATAATAATAACAATAATAATAATAACAAGAATAATATTAACAATAATAATAACAACAATAATAATCATAATACTAATAATAACAATAATAATAATAAAACCAATAATAATAACAATAATAATAATAACAATAATAATAATAACAATAATAATAATAACAATAATAATAATAATAGTATATATATAATGGGATGGGATTGATGCCAATCTGAACACGTGATCGATGCAATGCCTGTGATATTCTCGTATGACGCGGGTAAGACAGAGTGGCTCTGCAATGCATACTTCACCACGGACGATCTCTAGTCTTGTCAAACCTTCGTTGTGTTCGCCAAAAAATACAATTTCCACTTCATTGAAGGCTGACCTGTGATAGTTTTCTGATGGGAGGCTGCACCTACACAACAGGCGCTGGCGGCAGAAGTTGCGAGCAGGCGGGAAAATTTCAGGGAGATATTGTTTTTTCTTGAGGTTGGCAGCAGAGATTTGCAAACGGCACACCTGGCACTAACAGTGACTAACAGTGACGAACAGTTGCAGCAGGCAGTCGTTTTGACATGTTTTGACCGTCGTTTCTTGAACTTCAATGAGGATAATGGGGGTAGTGGAAATAACCATCCGACTCGACAGGGTGCCGCTCCCTGCGCATTTGCGCATGCGAGCCCCGTGATGGCCGTGACGTGTGGCGGGAAAAGTGACAGAGGTTGGGCGCGATCGACCCGGAGAACTTTGCCTTTCCACTGGTTTTCTTTGGAGCAAAAAAAATGAGATAACTAAGGAATCTAAGGACACCAGGATTGAGAATATGTTCAATAGTGTTCAATAGTGTTCAATACATTTGACGATATCAGTAGTTGTTATCCAAGACACCTATTTCAAGTCTGAATAGCTGATACTGTAGTTTGATGTAGCTGCCTAGGCGATCCTCTGTTGCTTCCAAGGTTGTTATCATTATCAAGCCAATCAATCGACCGACCAACCACTCAATCACCAAATCAGCATTTGCAATCTGCTCTATTCCAGTCATTCTAACTCAAGTCAATTGATCGAATCTGATGCATCTTATGCATCCAATCCAGTCTGGTGTATTTTTTGTGAAAACAAACAAAAACCTGACGTTTAGAAAGTTACCCTTTCCAGAAATGACGACTAGAAGCTAAAGGCTATGTTTGGGGATGTGTCCTCGAGTCCTCGCCCTCCATCCAAATCCCACAAAGTGGCTTATCTTCAATGCGGATCAAGGGGTCATCAGTTTCGAACATCCAGGGACCTTAAAACTGGAGAGGACTCCCTGCATTGCGAAGCAGTGCAGCCATCTGTGGCTCAGAAACAATTCCAATTCGGGCCTGGCAAAGCAGCCCTGAGGCGTGAGTGGTGGCCATTTAGAAACGAGGACCATTTATTTAGGGCATTTGTATATATATATATATATATTTAGCTTAGTTTTTTTTTGGATTCCTCTCTTCTCTCTACTGTGCTGCTGTTCTGCATTTTTTTGCTTCTACGCTTCTCTGTTCTTTTTGCTTCTCTACTTTTCTGCCTTTCTGCTTTTCCGCTTTTTTTTTTACTTCTCTGTATTTTTGCTTTTCTGTGTTTTTTGCTTCTACGCTTCTTTGTTTGCTTCTCTGCCTTTTTGCTTCTCTGTTTTTTTGCTTCTCTGTTTTTCTGTCTTTTGTTTCTCTGTTTTTTGTTCTCTGCTGTGTATTTTTTCTGCATTCGTTGCTTTTTGTTTTTCTACTTGCTTCCTTGTTGTTCTGCTTGATTACAAGTGCAGCTATAACTACATGAAGAGAACAGCACCAGCAGCACAAACAACAAGAGCAGTAAATGCAAAAGGAACAACGCAAACCAACAAAAGCAACAAGAAACAACTAGAACAGCAAGAGAAACAAGAACAACTACAACGGCAAAGTAGGAACACAAGCGAAGTTGTCTCTGTGTTCCTTGGGGGGGAGGCGCTGCGCCCTCCCCCTTCCATCTGTTTCTATTTTGTTGTTGCGTGCTTTCGATTTTGCACTCTTTGGTTTCTTTGCGTTGGTGTAAAGACCATGATGTAAATGAGCTGATTAACAAGTTAAGGTTTCACAATGCTTCAAATATTATAAAACCAAAATGGAAAGTCGCCATGCAAAATGGAAGGTTGAAGTTCAAGAATGCTGCACATATCATTTGCAAAATCCCGATGAGGTTCTATCTCCACAATGCAGGTTGATGTTGCAGAATGCTGAGAATAGTGCAAATACCACGCAAACTCCGCTGTTTGTTCTCTGTTTTTTGGCCTTGATGGTTTCGCCAGTTTGCTTTCAGCTTTATGGGCTTCTTGACTTCATGGCTTCGATTGTGTTCACCTGTTCACCGCAACCAAAGCCACAAGCGTAAGGAAATCACAAACACGGCCTACATCCAAACAAAGAGCACAATATCAGTTGTTGGTGTGTTCTTCTAGCTACACCACTAACAACAACCACAACAGCAACAGCAACAGCAACAACAAAAGCAACAACAACAAGAACCTACTATTACAACTGCAACTGTAGCAAAACAAACAAGAACCCACAACTAACAGACAACAACCACAACAAAACAACTAACAACAACTTGCAAATAGCATGCCAAATGGAAGATTCCAGCTCCAAAATGTTGCACATATATGCAAATATACGTATGCAAATATCATGCAACAAATCGAAGGTCCCAAATGTTGCAACTGGCAAGCAAAATGGAAGGTTCCAGCTTCCAAATGTTGCAACTGGCAAGCAAAATGGCGGTTCCAGCTGCAAAAAGCTGCAAATAGCATGCGAAAGGAGAGTTCCAACTATATATAAAATGCTGCAAATGGTATGTAAAATGGAAGGTTCTAGCTTTAAAAAGCTGTGCGTAGCATGGAACATGAAAGGTTTCCAGCTCCAAAATGTTGCAAATGGCATGCAAAGTGGAAGGTTCCAACTCCCAAATGCTGCAAATAGCTTGGAGAACAGGAAATTAATATGCCGCCGAGAGATTTCAATGGAAAGCACAATTCAGTACCTAAACCTTCTGGTATTTTTAAAATGATAGACGCGTGACCATGTTTTTGCCCCACTGAACAATATATGTATATGTATATGTACATGTATATGTATATGTATATGTATATGTATATGTCTGGGTTATCCTTTTGGACATTTTTTATTTTTTTGGATTTTTGTTGCTTCTTGCTTAACATCGCCTGGCCATCGCTCAACCTTTGACTTCAAGAAGATCCCTGGGAGCAGCGCTCTTGATTGAGGCACTATTGGCCGGTCGTTTTTCCTTGAGTGTTCATTTCAACCTTTGGGTTGCAGCTTTCAACCCTTCTTTGCGAGTTTTTTTTTTGGATGGTGGGGAAGGGTGGACTCATTTCGTTGAAGGGTTCTGCTCCCTGCCACTGTCAGGCATTTTGGTGGCTGCTCGGCTTGCGCGGCTCTTGCGGCTGCTGCGGCGCGCCTGCTGCTGCCTTGGCCTGCAGCTCCTGCGCCCCTGCTGTTGGAGGCATTGCATCATCGCCGGCTGAGCTAGTATGATTTAGGGCCGGGTTTATATTATTATTGCAGACAGATAGATAATAGATTATACTTCATGATATGTGTCACTGCATATGTGTCATTCTCATGGGTAATGTATGGTCACTCTTGGTCCAACAGGGCATATCCCACATCATCCTTAGTCAACAAAGAATTATGTTGTCATTCATGGTGTGTATGTGTGAAGACCAAAGAAGCATGAGATCAGAAATTCAAAACATGGACGTATTCTTTAAGGACGAATCTTCTTTTGTTTCAAGCATTGGTGACTAGTTGTTTTCATATCCCCATGCAGTACTTCCACATACTTTGCTTGCGCAGGTGGTTGCTTGCGGCTTCAGCGGCTTCAGCGGCTTCAGCGGCTTGGCACTTGCGGCTTCAGCAGCCGAGGCTCGCACCACCGGTGTGGTTGATGACACCCTGGGTATTTGATGCTTTTGAATTACCATTGAACCCCAAAAGCATCCCCAATTATTTGATGCCGTCGAATTCGAAAAATCATCAACGCAGTGAGTTTGACCTACACTCATCCCATGGACGGTTCACCTCTAAAAGAGCAGCTCACTGGCTCAGCGGCTTGGCGGCTTTCGTTTGGCACTTGATCAGTTGTGATGGCGGCTACGCTGCGCAGTCTTTTTGGTGGAGGACGGCAGAGTGCCCAGTCTAGCAACGATGAGAATGCTGAGGGGCCAGAGCCAGGTGACATTGTTGTGACAGGCACGCCTGTTGATCTCGATGGTGAAGCCTTCCTTGCCGTCGCAGCTCGCTGAAAACTTTGAAGCGGCTGAAGCGGCTGAAGCGGCAGCGGTGGCTCAAGCCGAGGAAGCGCTCCAGGTGACCGAAGTCGCACAGAGGGCCCATGATCAAAGGGTCGACATTGCTCAGACCCTGGGGCGCAACTTGAGGAATTTCCAGCACAACATTTGCCTCCTCAACGGTGACCAGATCCAGCGGCTCACCTTGGACATCAACACGGCCCCTTTGTGGATGCAGGAGACGTACGACACGCAGGTGAATTTTACCTGGGCTTTGGCTGGCTTCAATGTCCTGCTGAGCTCGTTTTTCCCTGGTGGCAAAAAGACTGCGCAAGGCATGGACCAGGTGTGTGCAAGCCCCTAAGCAGCAAAAAGATGCAAAAAGGGCCAAATGGCTGCTGTTATTTCTATGTCTAAAAATGGCAATGATGGGTATATGTTGTAAAACATTGTAAGATTGGTCGATTGCTTATTCGTATTACTATAGTAATAATTATTATTGTTATTATATTGTGCAAACTTAGTTGATTGTTAATCACCTTGCAAGGTATCAGAGGTAAGTTGTACAGTTAACTGAGATGAAACACCAATGTTTTGAGAGATCCCCTGACGTATGAAAATCCCCGATGCAACGATGGTGGACCAAGCGAAGGATTTGCTTCAGCAGTTCCCGCAGCGCTCAAGCATTCCTCCGCGCTGGCAAGTCGCTGCTCGCATGAAGGGTAGTGTCGGATGCGAGTGTGGCAGAGAATAGGGCCCCAGAAATTACCACAGGGGAAATTTAAACCAATCAGGGTCCGAAGACATCAACTGTTCAAATCTTCCCTTTTTTCTCGCAGCTTCTCATTAATTCCAGCCGCTGAGATTGCTGCTGCGGCCCGGGAGATGTTGGACCAATTCACGGAAGCTGCGACCTCTGACCAGGGCTGCACGTACGTCGGGAAATTTATGCTCTACCCCTTTGTCATGAATGTGCAAGCAAGGGGATACGATCTGCAAGAAGTAGAGGACAGGGTTGCGCATCGCTGGGAGATGTGTGGCTTAAAAACATGCTTTGATAATAACAACACACGATCTGGAATCCAATAGAACATGGTCCTCACTGGTTTGACTAGCCCCAGGAAGAACAATTGATCGAACTTGCAGCTAGGATCTACAGGAAGCCACCGCAACAACAACGGCAACCACAATAACAATCAACAATCAGAGCCGCAACAAGAAGATCAAACACAATAGCAACAAAGCCTAGAAGTAGCAGCAGCAAGGTGAGGGCCACCAAGTGTACCCACGAACACGACAACCACAACAACAGCGACGAGAATAAGCATCCCCACAACGATAGCAAACACAACAATTACAACTACAATGTGCAGCAAACACAACTACCGCCACACCATGGATAACAAGGTCAACCTGACAGCGAGGACAGCAATGATGACAAAGATTGCAATGATGGCGACGACCACAGACACAGCACCAAACGAAAGCGCATCCACCACAGTGACCACAACTAGCACAACCACGACAATGAGACAAAGCCAACAACCACAACAGCAGCCACAACCAGAACCTTTTTTCAATATACCTACGAAAACGACAGCTCGACATGTGCACAGAAGCAGCAGCAAAAACAAGAACAGGAACAAGAACTGAACAATCAAGACGAATAGCAACACGCATTGGTCTGGAACTTAACAGCAATGAAAGCATCAACGACAAGGACAACGACAACCACCGCCATCACCACCGCCAGCAGCAGCAGCAGCAGCACCACCACCAACAACACCAACACCACCACCGCCACCCCCACTCCGACCACCACCACCACCGCCAACAACAACAGCAAAAACATCATCAATAACAACAAGAATGACAGCAACAAAGATTGCAGCAGTGACAACAACGAACAACTATGATCACAACCATCACAACATCAGCAACTTGACAAGAACAACAAGAGCAACAAGAACAACAAGAGCAACAAAAACAACAAGAACAACAAGAACAACAAGAATAACAAGAACAACAAGAACAACGACAAGAACAAGACGAACACGACGAAACAAGATAAAGAACAAGAACAAGAACAACAAGAACAACAAGAACAACAAGAACAAGAACAACAAGAACAACAAGAACAACAAGAACACCACCACCACCACCACCACCAACAGCAACAACAACAACAACAACAAGAACAAGAACAAGAACAAGAACAAGAACAACAACAACAACAACAACAACAACAACAACAACAACAACAACAACGACAACGACAACGACAACGACAACGACAACGACAACGACAAAGACAAAGACAACGACAACGACAACGACAACGACGACGGCACTGACGACGGCGACGGCGACGGCGACGGCGACGACGACGACGACAACGACAACAACAACAACAACAGCAGCAACAACAACAACAACAAAATCAACATCAACAAAAAAAGCAGAGGTGAGAAAGACAAGCACAAAACAGCTGCGATCTGAACAGTTTTGAAGGTTTTTGTATGTGGCAGTGGATTGCTTCTTTTTTCCCTGGCAGGCAGAAGGCTGGGGTGGATGGGCTCTCCCTTTCAACAGGGACGATGGTCTTTTGCTGCACATGAGCCTGTACGGCAAGGTTTGCTTGCAGTTTGCGAAGTCATTTCTGAGACTGTCTGGGAACCGTTCGATCGGAACCTCGCAGCTTGGTCAACTTGCAGGGAGATGATGAGCAGGCAATGCCTTTGGAGGCTCGCAACAAGATGCTGTTGAAGAGCAGCTTTTTCCATAAGAGCTTCGAGCCTTCGCACGCATCAATGCAGAAGGCTGGACTGCTTTTTGCGGCCGATTCCGACCACACCCTTCGCAATGAGGAGCTGGTCCTCCTCTCGGTCCTGGAGCCTGGCTATGGGCAGCTGGTGGACGGGGCGAGCATGACCAACCAATCCATTTGGGTCACCTCCAGCGGCTTCTTCTATGTTCTGCGGTTTCTCCCCATCCAGACTGCCAACAGGAAATTCACAACCCCTCTATTCACGCTCAAGGCCTGGACAGCCCCTTCCATTTTTTGATTTTGTGTTTTCTTCAATAAGGTTGACTTTAGAAGTTAAGTGATATATAACTGATAACATATTAACCAACCCAAGTTCCAGGGCTCGTGCCTCTTCTTGCTTTCTTCCATTCAGGCTGAGATTGTCAAGGGGGACTTTGCCAACGATGACTTCATGGTCCGGCAGAAGAAGGAGGTGGACGTGATGTGGACTGGGACTGGCGGAGATGACTTCTCATTGGTCTGGGATGGCTACTACGTGGATTCTTGGTTTCAAGTCAGCCAGGGCTTGCTGATGCGCTCATACTTTTTTGTTCTGAGCGTTTTTGTGTTAAGCATTTCTAAAAGCATAGCTTTGATCTAAAACTCAAATATGGAACTGTTTCTTGAAATTGCTTGGACTAGTTGGGCCGGGTTTCAAATTATAATTTTTAATACGTTGAAATTGTTTAATGCAAAGGTTGACATGAATCAGTAACTATGATAGATCTACAATGTTCTTCCTGACAAATTGGCATGTCATTGATTTGGGCGTAATGTGGCATGTCTCAGGAGCGGATTCTGGCTGTGAAGAAGGGCGGGAGCTACCACGTGATGGCCATGCAGCTCCTCCGCCGTTTGGATGCAGTGGGTGCCCCCTACAGCATCGCCGTTGGTCGCTGTGTCAGGGCACCAGCTGGCTTACACCTCGGATTGATGGTAGGGGGAGCCCAGTCATACTGTGTGCAGACCATGCGCCAGACTGGTGACGCGGACCAGAGTCGTGCAGCACACAAGGGCGGGGGCAAGAAAGGCGGCTGGAGTGGCGGTGGTGGCGGCTCTGGCGGCTATCGGCAAAACCGTGATGGATGGGACCATGCACGCAGCGGCTGGGGTGGCCCTGCACCTTTTCGCGGCTCAGTCCCTCCCCCCGGTGCTGCCAACATGACGCCTCCTACTGCTCAAGCGGCTCAAGCGGCTCAAGCGGCTCAAGCGGCTCAAGCGGCTCCTGCTGCAGCAGCCCCACCCACGGCCACACAAGCAGCCCCGCAAGCAGCCCCGCAAGCAGCCCCGCAAGCAGCCTTTCAAGCAGCCTTTGCTCAACAAGCTCCACCTCCTGCGGCACAGGCAGACTCTGCTCAACAAGCTCCACCTACTGCGGCTCCCAAGGCTTCAGCGGCACCAGCGGCTCAGCAGGAGTATTGGGGCAACAATTGGTGGGAGGATGGCAGTCAGTGGTGGGACGATCGTCACCAGTACCAGGATGGTGGCGTGGACCCATATGACGATTGGGCAGAAGACGTCTAGATGGCGCAGAGCTGCACAAAGCGGCACTTTTTGAAAAGTCCCAGCATGATCACTGGGCAGATCGAGCTGCATGAAGCTGCAGCATTTCAACACAGACTTTCCATGGCAAGCGCATGGAAAAAAGAAGTTGGCTGTAGCACTTCTCAGTTGAGAGGAGGAAAGGGAGTGGCATCATCGTGCTAATTTCTTATTAGTCAATACCATTGCATGTATTTATTTTAATCAATAGCAGGGATTATTGTAGAAACCATAGCAGCTGCAGCGTTTCCCCGTGAGCATTTTCTTTTCACGGCCAGATCGGCTTGTTTTTCCCCAATCCTCCATGCGACAGCACGTTGCTGGTCAGGTGCGCCTCTTCCCAAGCTGCAGCTGCTCCAGCGCAAGCGTGCGCGGATCGAAGGCCCTTTGGTTGGATTGCATGGTGCTCATATTATAATGATGATAATTTAATAATTTGTTACATAGTATGATTGAAATTTTGCGCTGAGATAATGTTGGAGAGAGGATGTAAACAGATTGCTGTTGAAAGGATTGGGGCAAACATGGTTCCAATATGACGTCAGAAGAAAGCCCTTCACATGCAGGAACAGGTAACTACTATTAAGCGGGGGTGTTCTACTACAATCACCATAGCAGTTCCAGTGTTTCAGCATGAGCTTCTTTCAGGACCAGATCGCCACCCCTTTTTTCTCCAATTCACCATGCACGTTGCTGGTTAGGTTTGGCCCTTCCCAAGCTGCAGCTGCTCCAGCGCAAGCGTGTGCGGATTGAAGGCCCTTTTCTGGATTGCATGTTGCTGATAGTAATTTAATAATAAGTAAATGTAACTTATTGTTACATTCGGTTGGAAGTCTACCCTGAGATAGTGAGAGAGCATGTAAACTCATTGCTGTTGAAGGCTAAGAGGTATTGTCATGTGATTGGGGCCAAGATAGTTTCAATATTTATTGAAGAATTTACTTTACATGCAGAAATAGGCTCCAATGAAAATAAGTTTGTTTTCTACTATTCAACCAAACATACCAGTTGCAGTGTTTCTGCGTGAGTGTTTCCTTCTTTCATGACCAGATCAGCACCTTTTTTTCACCAATCCTCCATGCAATAGCATGTTGCTGGTCAGGTGTGGCCCCCTCCAAGCTGCAGCTGCTCCAGCACGGGATGATGATCATGACCATGATCATGATCATGATCATGTTGTTGTTGTTGTTGCTGTTGTTGTTGTTGTTGTTGTTGGTCTTTTTGTTGTTGTTGATGATGATTATGATGATGATGATGACAATGAAGAGCATGTTGCTGATGATACTGCTTCTGCTGCTGATAATGATGGTGATGATGGTGATGATGATGGTGCTGGTGATCATGACGATGAGCATGATGTTGTTGTTGATGGTGATGTTGATCAGGATGGTGATGATGATGATGAGAAGAAGAAGATGATGATGATGATGATGACAACACAGTTTCATTGCACACATGTCCCTGTGAGGTGTGCATTGGTAGCTTCTGCATTCAAGATCTGCGCAGAAGCTCGTGGTTCCCGGTGGCAGCTTCACACTGTGGGCAAGGCTGTTACTGGCTGCAAGCATGGTAGCAAAAAGGTTACAGTGAAGAAAGTAGCGACATGGAATGATTTTTGGTCTTTTGTGCGATCAATTCGCATGCTTCGGCGATCAAGGGGTGTTACAGGGATGTTCTCAAAGGTCGGATGACAGTGAATCGCATTGTCATGTGCCAGCCTCATGCATCAAAAAAGCCAAAAAAGCTCCCCATAGTAATACGCCCTTGGCTTGCAAAAGCCAGGCCCGTATTCGAAAGGGCATTGCCCTAGACAATCTGCTTTGCTTCAGTTTTGAGTATTGAAGGGTCAAAAGCTTCATGATTACGGTCCCGGCTCGTGCAAGCCAGCCCCGTATTGAAGAGGGCATTGCCCGATGTAATACGCCCCTGGCTCGCGAGAGCCCAGGGGGTTAGTTTTGGGGCTGCAATGAAAGGTACAATGAAGACATTCAAGGCTGAAACTCCGCATTTTTGGAATAGAAAGGTAGAATTTCTATGAGTGTATTGCATGGAAGGGTCGAGATTCCTCAAATATAGCAATGAAAGGTTTTCTGCCCACAATGAAAGAGGCATGGCGCCGCTTCCTGTGGATCCTGCTGCTGCTGTCAAGCTGTGGTTGAAGGCCGCAGACTCTGAGCAAACGAGCGAGAAATGGAGCCGTGTCCAGCGAGCTGCCTGCAAAGTTCCTTGGCTTCGTTCTTTGACTGAGTGTGGGGGGTTGCCAGCTGCTTGTTGCACAGAGGCTGCCCAGAGATGCATTGAGGGAAAGGATGGCAACTTGTTGCCGTTGGTGGAGTTTCTGTTCAGAGGTTTCGATCATGCTGAGCTGCCAGTAGCAACTGGGCAGCATTGCATCAGGCCCTCTTTCCCAGTGTGGTCCCAGTGTGGTTGTGGTTGTTTGGCATGTTTGGTATTGCTGTGAGGCAGCCTTGGCTGCCTATATGACTTATCGAGCCGGGTGTCGAATTCCACCATTGGAGAAGGAGATATGTTACCTTCCAGCTGTGCAAAGACATTGATGTTTCGAGACCACATCAGCAAATTTGATTATCATCGTGTTCTAAGGTGAATATCATACATCATATTAGAAACTAGCACATATATGAATAACACACCATTTTACTGATAATGATTTTATTAATAATCAAAAATAGTAATGATACACATTGTATGCATCTAAACATGTATGTATGTATGTATGTATGTATTTATGTATGTATGTATGTATGTATGTATGTATGTATGTATGTATGTATGTATGTATGTATGTATGTATGTATGTATGTGTATGTATTGTATGTATTGTATGTATTGTATGTATTGTATGTATTGTATGTATTGTATGTATTGTATGTATTGTATGTATTGTATGTATTGTATGTATTGTATGTATTGTATGTATTGTATGTATTGGATCATGTATTGCATGTATTGCATGTATTGCATGTATTGCATGTATTGCATGTATTGCATGTATTGCATGTATTGGTATGTATGTATTGTATGTATTGTATGTATGGTATGTATGGTATGTATGGTATGTATGGTATGTATGGTATGTATGGTATGTATGGTATGTATGGTATGTATGGTATGGTATGGTATGGTATGGTGTGGTATGGTGTGGTATGGTATGGTATGGTATGGTGTGGTATGGTATGGTATGGTATGGTATGGATGGATGTATGTATGTATGTATGAGAACGATACATAACCTTTCAACAACATGGTGCGACCTTTCCTTTCCCTATGCACCAAATGTTTGACGCAGAAGGGCCTGGAGGGGGCACCCAAGCATATCCTGGGGCAGCAAATCCTCTGGCAAGGACCCTGGCAACTTGATGCTCCAGATTTTACACACTGAGAACCCTTTCCTCCGAATGCAAGCAGCTCCCTTCAGTTTTCTGGACAGCTGTAGAGGGAGCTTTTTGCATTCAGTGACGAAGCACCGAGCCTTGATTTTTCTTCTGGAAGCATAGGTGTGCAGCTCATGCCTCCATGCAGACATTTCATGACTGCATCAATATGCCTTAATTATAATTAGCTTTCATAAATTCGCATTGCAAAGCAATTTTCTTCACAGCGCATTGCAAGTCGCATTCTCCGTGCAAGCTGTCGGGGCCCATTGTAACCCACAGTCGCAATGCATATGGCATGGCACCATGTTTTTTTTTCGCTGCGGGTTGTCCCCTAAGGAGGTGACAAGGTGACAGGCTATTTGATGGATATCTTGAAGATGCCATACATGCAACGCCTTGAGAGTCGTGAGCAATTGGGTATCGTGATTCTGACTGCATACCGTCGATCCCCTGGCTTTGCTGAGTTTGTGCTTGAAGCCAGTTCGCAGCCGCGATTTGCTTTGCTTGCAGTTGTCCACAATTTCTTTCGAGACACACAAGGGGTCGGGCAGCGAAAGGCTTACATGCCAACCCGGGTTATCTCCAAGCATGGCACTAAGCTGCGGCCAAATCGTGATTTGGGAAAGTTGCGCCTTGCAGGGGCATTGAGCTTGTGTGGCCAATTTCTGGATGGCTCGCTAGATGCCATTTTCGTGAATGACAGCAAGAAGTCATGGCTTGTGGATCCGGATTTGCTCCCCGTCATGAGCATGTTTCATTGGGCCTTGCTTTTAGTTGCCAATGTTGGGGCTGCGATGTTGTAAGGTTGTAGCTTACCACTTCTTCACACTAATACTCTTTCGCATTTACCAGGTTGGACGCCATTGAGTGCGCCTCATCAAAGCTCATGGGCACCCATTTCCTGCAGACTTTGGAAGCTCTGGGACGTTTGGCGCGAGCCAGCCAGGAATGCAGCACCCAATGGAACCACAGCTAAGAACATCAGGTACTAAGAGCATCATGCCTTCCAGAGTCAGTTCATACCATTCCTCCTTAGTATCTGAGGAACGGTAGTTACAGCAAGGTGTTCGGCCGATGGTGCGGCTCTGCGGCTGACGATGTTTTGGGGAAAGTGGTTGAGCATTTGCAGTCTTGGCCGAACCAGCGCTGTCCAAAGATGCAGGCTCTCCAGGCTGAGGTTACCAGCCACATGTGTGTGGTAAATGCTTGCAAATGCATCCACGTTCTTAGGACACTCAGCGCATTGGAGACTGGAAAGCTGGCCTTATTCCCAAACATCGATTGTTCGTGGCATTTGATTTGTCCTCAGGAACTTTGCGTTTCTCGGTCGCTGTGTCTTGACTGAAAAAGCACTCAGGTCCTGTGCATGTATGGAATTGCACTCCCTGCTCAAGAATTTCTTTATTATGTTCAGTTGCCATTGGCTTGGCAGCCTGAGGCAATTGGAAAGGGAAAGACATCCCTGAGGCTGCCCCTAAAATATTGGCTGCCCTGGGCTGAAGCAAGGTGCTCAAGTTTTTAATTTTCAAATGTGAAATGAAACCCTTTCCCATTGCGAGGGAATGCATACAAGACCTTTCCTTTCCCTATGAACACCTTTCATTTCGTGAATTGCTTGATGTTTCGCATTAAAAGGTTGAATAGATGCCTGGAAGGGTGCTGATTAGCATGCAGAATTCTGTCGTGAGGACCGTGTTGTGGATTTCTCGATTGCTGCCTCTTTCTGTGCCCAGGTGGCTAATTAGCGCTCTCTTGCCGACTTTCAGAAACGTCCAATCCTATATGAGCCGAAGTAGTGCAGGCACCAACTTGGCGGTAGAACTACTTTTGATTGTGTTTCGGGCCTTGTCATTTTGAACCAGGCGCTTAGGTTTTGAAGTTGCGAGTGTGCAATCACATATTTTCCCACGAGAGGGCATGCATGTAAGACCTTTCCTTTCCCTATGAACACCTTTCAAGTCGTGAATTGCTCTATGTTTCGCATTAAAAGGTTGAATCGATGCCTGGAAGGGTGCTGATTAGCATGCAGAATTCTGTTGTGAGGACCGTGTTGTGGATTTCTCGATTGCTGCCTCTTTCTGTGCCCAGGTGGCTAATTAGCGTTCCCTTGCCAACTTCTCAGAAACGTCCAATCCTATATGAGCCGAAGTAGTGCAGGCACCAAACTTGGCGGTAGAACTAGTTTTGATTGTGTTTCGGGCTTTGTCATTTTGAACCAGGCGCTTCGGTTTTGAAGTTGCGAGTGTGAAATCACATATTTCCCGGGCATGCATGTAAGACCTTTCCTTTCCCTATGAACACCTTTCAATTCGTGAATTGCTTGATGTTTCGCATTAAAAGGTTGAATAGATGCCTGGAAGGGTGCTGATTAGCATGCAGAATTCTGTTGTGAGGACCGTGGTGTGGATTTCTCGATTGCTGCCTCTTTCTGTGCCCAGGTGGCAAATTAGCGTTCCCTTGCCAACTCCTCAGAAACGTCCAATCCTATGTGAGCCGAAGTAGTGCAGGCAGCAACTTGGCGGTAGAACTACTTTTGATTGTGTTTCAGGCCTTGTCATTTTGAACCAGGCGCTTAGGTTTTGAAGTTGCGAGTGCGAAAACACATATTTCCCACGAGAAGCATGCGTGTAAGACCTTTCCTTTCCCTATGAACACCTTTCATTTCGTGAATTGCTTGATGTTTCGCATTAAAAGGTTGAGTAGAAGCCTGGAAGGGTGCTGATTAGCATGCAGAATTCTGTTGTGAGGACCGTGGTGTGGATTTCTCGATTGCTGCCTCTTTCTGTGCCCAGGTGGCTAATTAGCGTTCCCTTGCCAACTTCTCAGAAACGTCCAATCCTATGTGAGCCGAAGTAGTGCAGGCACCAACTTGAACTTGGCGGTAGAACTACTTTTGATTGTGTTTCAGGCATTGTCATTTTGAACAAGGCGCTTAGGTTTTGAAGTTTCAAGTGTGAAATTAAACCCTTTCCTTCAAGTGTGAAATTAAACCCTTTCCCATGCGAGGGCATGCATATAAGACCTTTCCTTTCCCTATGAACAGCTTTCAATTCGTGAATTGCTTGGTGTTTCACATTAAAAGGTTGAGTAGAAGCCTGGAAGGGTGCTGATTAGCATGCAGAATTCTGTTGTGAGGACCGTGGTGTGGATTTCTCGATTGCTGCCTCTTTCTGTGCCCAGGTGGCTAATTAGCGTTCCCTTGCCAACTTCTTATGTGAGCCGAAGTAGTGCAGGCACCAACTTGGCGGTAGAACTACTTTGATTGTGTTTCAGGCCTTGTCATTTTGAACCAGGCGCTTAGGCTTTGAAGTTGCGAGTGTGAAATCACATATTTCCCGGGCATGCATGTAAGACCTTTCCTTTCCCTATGAACACCTTTCAATTCGTGAATTGCTTGATGTTTCGCATTAAAAGGTTGAATAGATGCCTGGAAGGGTGCTGATTAGCATGCAGAATTCTGTTGTGAGGACCGTGGTGTGGATTTCTCGATTGCTGCCTCTTTCTGTGCCCAGGTGGCAAATTAGCGTTCCCTTGCCAACTTCTCAGAAACGTCCAATCCTATGTGAGCCGAAGTAGTGCAGGCAGCAACTTGGCGGTAGAACTACTTTTGATTGTGTTTCAGGCCTTGTCATTTTGAACCAGGCGCTTAGGTTTTGAAGTTGCGAGTGCAAAAACACATATTTCCCACGAGAGGCATGCGTGTAAGACCTTTCCTTTCCCTATGAACACCTTTCATTTCGTGAATTGCTTGATGTTTCGCATTAAAAGGTTGAGTAGAAGCCTGGAAGGGTGCTGATTAGCATGCAGGATTCTGTTGTGAGGACCGTGTTGTGGATTTCTCGATTGCTGCCTCTTTCTGTGCCCAGGTGGCTAATTAGCGTTCCCTTGCCAACTTCTCAGAAACGTCCAATCCTCTGTGAGCCGAAGTAGTGCAGGCACCAAACTTGGCGGTAGAACTACTTTTGATTGTGTTTCGGGCCTTGTCATTTTGAACCAGGCGCTTAGGTTTTGAAGTTGCGAGTGTGAAATCACATATTTCCCACGAGAGGGCATGCATGTAAGACCTTTCCTTTCCCTATGAACACCTTTCAATTCGTGAATTGCTTGATGTTTCGCGTTAAAAGGTTGAATAGATGCCTGGAAGGGTGCTGATTAGCATGCAGAATTCTGTTGTGAGGACCGTGGTGTGGATTTCTCGATTGCTGCCTCTTTCTGTGCCCAGGTGGCAAATTAGCGTTCCCTTGCCAACTTCTCAGAAACGTCCAATCCTATGTGAGCCGAAGTAGTGCAGGCACCAACTTGGCGGTAGAACTACTTTTGATTGTGTTTCGGGCCTTGTCGTTTTGAACCAGGCGCTTAGGTTTTGAAGTTGCGAGTGTGAAATCACATATTTGCCGGGCATGTATGTAAGACCTTTCCTTTCCCTATGAACACCTTTCAATTCCTGAATTGCTTGATGTTTCGCATTAAAAGGTTGAATAGATGCCTGGAAGGGTGCTGATTAGCATGCAGAATTCTGTCGTGAGGACCGTGTTGTGGATTTCTCGATTGCTGCCTCTTTCTGTGACAAGGTGGCTAATTAGCGCTCTCTTGCCGACTTCTCAGAAATATCCAATCCTATGTGAGCCGAAGTATTTCAGGAAGCTCCTGCGGCTTTTGCGGCTCCGGCGGCCTGCGGCTTTTGCGGCTCCAGCGGCTTGCAGCTCGTGACGCAGAGACGCATGTGATAGGTGGATTTGGCAAAAAAGGGTTTTGGAGCTACATTCAACACGTTGCAACATTCCACCTTAGTATTTCCGTAAAACTTGTTTATTATTTTGTAATAGTAGCACTTAATTTTCCATGTTGGCCAGTACTCAGACATCATAGTGACAAATCCATGATCTGATTTTACAACTTTATTATCTATTCATTGGTTTTTTCTAGATCAATGTCATGCCCACATGTTGTTCTTAGTTATCGTGGTCGTGTCTCCAAACCACCGGGAATTCTTTTAACATATTGTTAACATTTAACTCTCGCCAAACATGCATGTTTCATTAACGTTGTCAAGGACTTTTGAAACTTGCTAATCTAGCAAAGTAGTGATTCAGAACTTGTTAGCAAACACTCATCATATCTCATCATCAATAATTCTTTGTATTGCGCATTTAAACGAAACGAATGTTGCTATCAAATAGAACGTCTTACGGTCTTACGCTTTACAATCTTGCATTTATTTCCTTGGGTGCCAAAATCCAACACTGCAATGCACGGGTCTTGCTGCAAAGCAGTCAAGCACTAGCGGTTCATGTGCTCATCCACCCAAAACATGAGCATAAGCGCCTCAACTTAGTTTGTCAGGTGCCAGACTGGCGAAGCAGAGTTTGTTTAGTATGTTTCTCAAGGTATTAGTAACTAAGGCAGCAGAGGTTTTCCATGTGGCAATTTTCTTGGTAGCATTCAACTTGTTGTTTTTCCTATGGAACTGCTTCATCCAGGCACCCTGTCTTGTTAGCAATTTGAATGCTATACCCGGCAAGCCCTGCAATCAAAAAGCAAATGCTTCAGCGGACATCGTCATGCAGAAAGTGTGGCCTTGAAGTTGATAGCTGTAGTTTACCAAATTTTAGGGGTATCCCTTAATATTTTTCGGGACCACTGAAATGCTAACCAAGATGTATATGTATATGTATATGTATATGTATATGTATATGTATATGATATGTATTTTCCATAGAGGTGTTGACGACTTTGCATGTTGCGGACTGTTGCAGGCAAGATGGCAGTAGCAGCCATTGACATGTCCTTCCTGGAGGACCTCTCAGATAGGTATTGCAGAGTGCATGTCTTTCCTTCAGCAGGATTGGTGTTTCCCCAAAATGTCGTTAATTCCTTCATCCAACCAGCAGCAGCGCATTTGCCATATTAAATATGCACACACAAAGGTTAGAAGTTCAAGGTATCAAGATAGAACCCCTTTTCAGACAGATATTATACTTATATATACTGTATACTTATACTGTATACTGTATACTTATACTGTATACTGTATACTTATACTGATATTTGAATAGCTTATAATATTTTTCGAATATATCCAATATATTATATATATATATCGAATATATCATAATATATCCATATATCTGATATCCATGGTCCCAACAAGTCGGAGCCCCGCGGCGCGGCCAGGATCCTGCCCTGTTCAGTAAGGGCCAACACCACCAAGATGATGAAGGCAGCAGTTGGATGCACTTGGCATGGTATGGCATGGTTATTTAATTTATGTTATCTGAAGTTCATGGTCTGGTGGAACATATCAATTTTTAGCTGGTCTTATGAAATTCTATACATATCCATGCATCCATATTTCGATCTCATGAGCATCGCCAGAATTATCAGCTGTGCCAAACTTTCCCGCGCCGCGCGGTGCTCAGATCTCTTCAACTGCAGCGATTTGCGAAAGTGCGAGCCACATGCGCCGGGGGCTCAGTGATACCCCTCGACTGGATGAGAAAACGGATGGTAAATGATGATGGTGTTAGGGAACATCTACAGGAAACCATAGATTTTCCCATGAAATATGGGACTTTCCGGTTAAACAAATCCCGTAAACCAATCCATTGAGGATGGTACATGATGATGGTAAGTCCCATGTGATCAGGCCGCTATTGTCCTAGTAATTGTGGCAAAACTTGGTGGAACAGCTTCAAAGTTGGATTGAGATGGATTTCGCAGAAGCGAACAGAACATGCTTGGCTATTGTCCCAATCGAGGCCCAAAATTCCTAAAGATAATAGCAAGGACCAACTCATCTGTAACTTCCATCGCATTTGGGTTTTGGATTCCGTGGGACCGAAAGAAGGATAAGAATCGGTCATCGACCAAGAAATCAACATCTTTTTGCCAGAAACATCAGAAACTCAGTTTAAATTTTCTTTGTTACTGGATGATCTGGATGCTGTTCCGTTCTCTTTTGGATCGTGCTGGTATTTTAATTTGAACATATTTGAACAGCAGGTCTTGTGGAAAGTTCGGACCGATGTTGAAAGGTGAACGATCCAAGCATTTTTTCCCATGTTTTTCACTTCACCATTCGCTGCGTTTTGAATCAGCTGTACAAAAACAGAACGAAATCATCCAGATCCTGGGATGCAATGGTGAAAAGCGGCGCTGACACCTCCAACTATCCGCTGTTCAGCCAGCTGTTTCTGTCTCCATGGATTTCGAGGGTATCTTGGATCACTACGCGGTACTTGGCCTGGAACAGGGCTGCAGTGCAGCGGAGGTGCGCAAGGCCTTCAGGGCCAAAGCGCTGAAGTGGCACCCAGACAAGGCAGGCAGCTCGGCGGAGGCGCGCAGGCGCTTTCAGGAAGCTACAGATGCATATGAAGCTGGGATTTTGGTGGGTTAACACAGATTTCTGATGTGTTTTTTCCCTGTCTAAACTAGCATTTTTTGGGTAAATGTCGGATGATTCTGAATACCATGGTTGATTTCAAAGATAATCAAAGATAATATATCATATATGTTTTGCTCTGAAAAAGGGCGTATGATACACTTTTGGTTGTTTAATATATTTTTGGGATAGGTTGAAGACCAGCTAGGAAGTGCTGGGGGATGAGGAGAAGAGAAAAGCCTATGATGGCCATTTGCAACAAGAAAAACTGGAAAGAGCTGCTGCAGAAAAGGCCGCGGCTGAAAGAGCCCGAGCCACGCAACAAGCACAACAGGGATATGCCGGCGCGAATGTCAATGCGCCTGCGGGAAATTTTCCCTTTCCTCATGCAAGTCATGGGCATCCTGGGGCCCAATCGCACCATGGGCAGCATGGGAATCGTGGGACCTATGGGACGCCAGGTAGACCAAGCCGCCAACATTCCAGACCGTTTGAGGATCCGCGAAGTCGTATGCCTCAGCCAGATTTGAGACCGACCGCTGCGGAAGTGCATGGCTATGGACGTCAGAAGATGCCAGACGATGGGCACCGGAGACGGACAGCTGGATACAACCCACATGACATGCCCAATGTACCAGACACCAGACCAACTGCAGCTGAATTGAACCCCCATGGCTTTGGACAACCCTTCCGTGCCACCATCTCTGACCTGCAAACATTGGCCAGCTTCAGACATGATGGTGCAATATGGATCCCTAAGGTGAAGGACGTGAAGTGGTGCAGACCCGGTGATGCTGGGAGGGTACAACTCAGTTTCGTTGCTGACTATACCTCCTCCCGCAGCCGTGGAGGGGGGTCACGGCTCCTGCAGCTCTTACAGACCTCCAACTGCGATGCCCTTCAGACGTCCTTTCAAGAACACCTGGACAGAGTGGCTGGTCGCTGCAGCTACCGACATTTTCGGATGCAACTGCTGGACCATCCGGGACGAGGGGAACTGCAGTTTCGCGTGAAACTCTGCTTGGAGGGGGAGACGAGTGACCTTTTGCGCAGCTTTGATGCTGCCTGGGAAGTGGCACCTTCACAGAAGATGAAAGACTGCCCCTTAATGTGAGCTTTGTGAGTTCAACCATCGGATCCTCAAGCTCTGAATAATTACATCTGAATACCAGAAAACTGCCAGAAATATAGGAAATAATAATGGTTTCCAGCAAACAAGAGGCAGATCCTACTTGTTGGATTTGTTTATGTAGATCGTTTGCCAAAGGTAACGACATGACACTTTGTTGTTTCTTCTCATCCTCCAGTTGGAGCGTGGGTTGAAGCATAGCCCTCTCTTGCCCGTCGGATGTCACACCTGGGCCTGGAGTCAGCTCCTACCCATGCTATCATCAAAGCTTGCAGAGGAAGAAATTTGATGCCTCCCTGGCTGAACAGGTGAACACATGTTGAAGACTAGCTGGTGGTTTCAATACTTTTCAATCACCTCTTGTTTTTCCATCTACTTGGGATGATTATGATTAGTCAAATCTTTACCCAGTCTTCCTGGGAATCTACTCATCCAACAGACTGCAGACCTGGAAGCTTTTCATCTCGGGCGAAGGGCTGATAGGAAGCTCGTTGAGAGCCAGCAGCCAAAAAGGGGACTCTTTGGATCCCGCCAGTTTGTTAGTACTGGGCTATCCACTTCAATGGTAATTGATCACTATTTTGGGGGTATCCCCCCAATAAAAAGGCAGGATTTATTAGTCCGGAAGTTGCATTACGGCTCAAGATTGGGGAGCGAATCTGGTCTTAGTTTACTCTCTTGGGATCCAATTTTGGGGCTTGCGCGTTCTGTTCTCCTGGTGACAACTGATTTATCGTCCAATGATGTCCAATGTATACATCGGGAAACTTGCAAATTTCAGCCAAATGGGGTGGAGATTGTCACGATGCAACGACATTTCCATGAAAGATGTTGAAGGTATTCTGCCCAAGGGGCGGCATGACCGGTAGGCCACCAGGTGAAAGCAACAGTTTTCAGCAAACCTGGCAATGCAAATCCCATGGTTTTTTCTCTGCAAAGATGGGCATCTTCCATTGGCAGGTCTAAAAGTTTTACAGCCTTAGCTGCCTTAGCCATCTCGCCATCTCAGGTTCACGATGGCTCCAGTGGCCAACCCCAAGACCTTCTGCCTAGACATCAAGAAGACCAACGAGGTCCTGACTGCGTCATGGGAATTGCTGGGGATGGGGGGATGGGGGGATGGTGCCAGGCACCAAAGCTGATGGACTTCAGGAAAGGTACCACCACCCTTGGCTTTGTGTCACCTGTCTGCGTTTCAAGGTGACCAGCACCGATGATTTGAAAGCGTGACAACTACAACTGAAATGAAGAAACTTGACAAACGATAGCTAGTAAGGCGTCCATTCATCGTATGTTTTGGGGTATTTGTTGAGTTTTCGTATTGCAAGATGTCCCTGGAATGTTTTGAACACGTTTCTGCAGACAGCAACGGTCTCTACTCAGGTTCCAGGGCGGTATCATCATCGCAGTGGATTCCCGTGCCTCCATGGGTAGCTACATTGGTTCAGCAACTGTGAAGAAGGCGAGTTCCCAGTGGGAATCTACAGACGTGTACTGATGGGATGGAAACTGAAAAATGTTTGGAGGTTAGGAGAGAGGGGTTAATGATGGTTAATGATAAATACTGAGAAATGGTTATTGAGTGGGAGTTCAGCAAACTAGATTAACTAGATAAGAAGCTGAAATCCGCCCTGATTTTATCGGTTTGTTTTCATTGCGGCAGGTCATCGAGATCAACGATTTTCTGCTTGGAACCATGGCGGGTGGCGCTGCCGACTGCTCGTGGGGCTCCTGGAACGGGCACTTTGCGATGTTGGGAGGAAACATCTGGGGATACCTGAAGGTATATATATATTATATTGGATTACCCTCTGGTAAGCAAACATGGCAATGGAAAATCCATGAACATCGTACAGGCATAGATGATCATAGATGATGTTTGAAAATAAAGCTTCCATTTATAGGGGTTCCATTGCCGCGGTTGATTACCGGAGGGTATATCAGTATATGGATGTGTCTGAAAACGGGATGTACCCCGAAATGGTCAAATTTTTGATGGGGATAACATGATTGATCAATGGGTTTTGGGGATCCAATTTTCAGACAAACCTATATCCCCAGTATGCCCGGTTTACGGATAATTCCAGGCTGGCCAGTGCATTTACATCCTCAAGTCGTCCGCGGCAATATGTTCTAGTTGCGGACACGCAAAACCCCGGCGAGCCATTCAAGCACATTCAAATCAATTTAATCCGACAGTTAAAGAACAGTTGGATCATGATCTTCCCAGCTAATCTAGTGTACATGTGTATATATATATATATTCCATTCAAAAACACCAGTTGGGGCTTATTTGCCCACATTAATATGTGGTTATATTCCATATAGGAATGATTTTTCACCCACATCTACGAAGCATGTCCCACTGTCCCCCGTTGCTCAGCCGCGACCTCCCGGAGCAGGTTCTGGGAGCGCCACTTGAACCGACTCTGCCGCATGCACGAACTCAGGGAGAAGGCGATATGCTTCGAATCCCCCAATTTTGCCCACCCAAATAGTAACCCAACAATGGTAACCATGGTAACCCCAACAATAACCTTACCATTTGGGGCATTATGGTATATAGATGTATATAGTATTATATAGTATTGGGGATGGTTTATTATTGGGTTTACTAGATTATATTATATATATGATTATACGATGTACTGCGGTGTTTACACATCATCAGTGGATGTCCATGGATGTCCATGGCACAATGACGACCAGGAGCGCATCTCGGTTGCCGCGGCTTCAAAGCTGTTAGCGAATATCTTCTGGCAGTTCGGGGACCTAATTGTTGTTTACCATCCACCAAATTGAGACCCGGAAAATGGATGAAAATGGAAGAATGTTTTGGTGGAAGCTAATCTTCCAACCCCGAACTATTTGGCAAGGTGTATGTTAGTTGGGGGAATGGTAATGACCTGTTGGAATGGGAGGCAAAGTAGGAAAGTCTTGCAGAAAAACGTGATGATGGTATATGATGGTAGCGTTGGTGATGGTAAGGAGCAGAGGTATGGGATTGGTTCAGACCTTCAGAGGTAATCTATCACTGGAAAATACAACAGCAATTCTTTTGCTGCCGTGGGTATGTGTTACAAAGCATATTAACAACTTAGCAAGTACACACTTGTAATGTGGTGTGCAGGTCACCCAAACCGTTACTTTCAGTTGTCCATCTCGATATCCATCTAAATCTGCCATATCCAACATGATCCATTATCCAACAGTATTCCCGAATGGGTTGTTAGCCCGATATCAAGATCTCGTTTCCAGCCCTCCCAACATCCCAACCATCCGGTAACGGGCCATGCCACACCCAGGTACAGGGGCCAGGGTCTGTCCTGCGGCACCATGGTGGCGGGCTGGGACAAGAAGGTGGACGTGGTTCGGAAAGACATGTTGGGTTGGTGGATCTATTCGATGATTTTCTCTCCGGTTTTATACAATTTTATGGGGATATAACTGGGATAGAATGGGATATGTAACAGCTGCAAAGCTCCTATTTGGTGCCACAACCAGCTAGATGCAAACTCACTGAATATTCACATTTCCAAGCCCAGCCATTTTCTAGGCATCTTTCCTTTCAGAGTTGAAGTATCACACGGGTCGAGAGCGTTCATGGCGACCAGGGCCCCTCGCTGTACATGGTAGATGACAACGGCGATCGCCACAAGGGCAACGTTTTCTCAGTGCGACTGCCCAGTAGCCAGGAAAACATCTTTTTGCCACTAGGATCCTCAAGGCATTTCCAGATTTGCCATATGAAAGTATGATGAATTGAATACTTGTGGCAATTCTCTTTGGGGAACCTTGTAACAATACATGACTACTATATGACCTGATCGTTTTTCAATGGGAGTTTCTACCTTCGTGTAATACATGTGCTTCAACAAGAGGTATCCACCGCGCCGCGTGCCTTGCTTTGTTCACAAGGTGGGTTCGGGATCAACCTTCGCTTACGGCGTGCTGGACACCGGTTACAGCTATGACCTGACTGTGGAAGAGGCGCACGCACGGGCTTTAAAATATGCCACAGTCACTGTGGGATGACGTGGCTGTTCCCACCTTTTGGGCACACCCTTTTTGATTTATGGTGGTTTACTGAAGTTTACTTGTTTGTTTAAATTAGATTAACTTCCCAAATTCTTCCCACTTTATTGGTTCAAAGCCTAAGTATTCATCACCATGATTTACCAGGTGAATTCCATATACTAAAAAACACCTAGTTACATTGAACTACATCTGATAAGTATCTTATTGCTTTGGGAGGAACTCCTGTAAATTCTCCCTCAGGTACCAAGATTGGAGCTAATTACCACCATCAGGTCAAAGCTATGCCTATTCTGGTTGGTATAATTGTCCGTCATTTTTCGGATCACAAACCCCAATGGCCCCAATGGCCCCGCCCCACTCCATCGTCCAAGATCGAGGCAGTCGAACTGGGCCGGCGCTCCATCTACCACGCCACGCATCGAGACGGCGCCTCTGGTGGCGTTGTGCGCGTCTACCACGCCGGGGAGCCCAGTGTTGGACGGAGCCCGGTTGGGACATGGGACTGGAAGCCCTGAAACATGGCACCCCGAAAAAGTGAGTAATGTCATTTATAGATGATTTTTCATGATAACCATAGACTATAAACTATATATAGACTATAGATAATATTTTTCAGTTATTGTGGAAATGGATTTGGCTTTTTCTCGATCTTTTTGGGGGATTGCTATAGCTGGGCCCACTGAAGGATCAACATATCCACTGAGATGGGATGGTTGAGAGCGAGCTTGGCCCTTCGCGGGCAGATATGGTGAAGGAGAATGGGGGCCACCCTGCATGCAAAAATATATTTTGTTTGGAGGATGAGAAATTGTAGAGGTCGAGCTGCGTAGGAGATCAGACAAGCACGGATTAATGATTAATGATGTTTTTCAGGTCTCTTTTGAGTAGATGTCGCGTTACACAGCGATCGTTCACAGGGTGAATTCCGATCAGTGGACACGGACCAGAAGGGATGGAGCTCCCTTGGTTCCTCGGGATTCCCATCGATCCACCCATGACAGGTCCACGAGAAGGGCTGGACGAAGGTGGGCTCCGTTCGAATTCTTTGCCCTGGACTCTGGACGAGTGGTTGATCTGGGATTGCGTGGAGGTATCTATCTGTCTGGTAATTAATATCAGCAACCAAAAATATGGTAAACAAGAACATCCAACAATCACTTGATGTAGCAAGCAAGCTAACTTCATAATTGTTAAGAATTCATATATATATATATATACACATATATATACACATATGTTTGCTTCTGCAATGACCGGATAGGATCATGTTCTCCAGCAGCCTCATGCCAGATGATTGCCGGTGAAGATGTGAACAAGTTGCACTACATGTGCTCCTGGATGATTACCGAGCGGCGGACTTGATAAGGATTCTGCATGATAAAGAGGTTCCCCCCAAAGGATTAAGGTTACAATAATCCCGCATTTCATTTGATGGTGTTCAACATTTTTTTCAAGATGCTTCGGGATTTTGTGTGCACATAATATAGACTGGACCAACAACTCGCCAAGTTCCAAGTAGCAGACGAAATCGTTCAGGTCCCAAAGTTCCATCAACTTTATTCACCAACATGCCACGATTTTGAAATATTTTGAAGGCATATCCATGTGACAAGGTTGGCAGAACGGATAGCAGCCTCTGCTGGTGGTGCCAGGTACGCGGCAGAGAAAAACCTCCGAGGAGATGAGTGAACCAAGTGGGCCAGTGAACGCAATGAGCCAAGTGGGCCATGTGCGGCTCGCGTTTCTTAGCCTGTATGATTCATGTCGCGTGTCATATTATGACAATTAATATGCTAAGCTGCTACATATGATAATACAGAAATATACAGAATACATATATGACATATTATGACGTTGATCTTCATCAGAATGAGTATATAACTATCATCGACCAATGTTGACTTGAATGTGTTGAAGAAATGGGTGCAGTGGTTGATTTCATGGTATTTCATTGTATCAGCTACCTGGATATCTCCAGTCTGAAAGCTATTGCGGAGCCACACGCAAAGCCAAGAAGAGAATAGGACTGAACAGAAAGGGCCTGCGTGGAAAAGATCCGTGCGCGATTGCATATTTGTTCAGTGGTCAGAAGTTCAACCAACCTCCGGCACGAGACGGATTTTGACCGGCTGAAAAGAAAGTATCCTGTTCGTTCCCAGAAGAGCTTGTTTCTTTGGGTATATAATGGTATATAGTCTCCCTCTCGTTCAGAAGTCGTACGTCCACTGCGAAAAAACAGGGAGAAAACTCACTCCCACAGTCCCCGCAGACCATAGAAGACGCGGCGAAAGGTGATCTCTGGAATATTTGCCCCCTCTGCACCTGAAGGGAATACGATGCCCTGCAAGGACTACGTAATACTACGTAAGGGTATTGAATCATGCGAGCTGAGAAAGATGCGAAGACCGGCCCTGTTCCCTGAACTGAAACGGGAACAATTCTTTACGACTTCACTGCAAATGCAAGAGTTGACCTGCCGAGTCGGTCCCATGCAATCCATCATTACTTGCTTGAGACGTAGCCAATACAAGTAGCAAGAAATATGTGGGCGTTCCACCAGGTATCCACCTGACGTAGAACTCAGGAATTGGCGTTCCACCAGACAAACCTTTGCGTTGCAAACCTGTACTAACTAATACTGACTGGCAGCGAATGAAGTCGTTACCTATAGAAAGATATTTACATGATTTTACATGCATAAACTGTTTTGATCGTGAAACCACACACTGCAGATACCTTGTCGATGGCTTGTTAGCATGTCGTCGGTATGGTGGGTAGGGACAGGCTCAGGACATCTCAGGACTATCAAGGTCATATTCATCAACAGGAACGAAAAGGAAGGAAAGGGAAGGAAAGGGAAGGAAAAGCAAGGAAAAGGAAGAAAGGGAAGGAAAAGCAAGGAAAAGGAAAGAAAGGAAAGCAAGGAAAAGCAACGAAAGACAAGGAAAGGCAAGGAAAAGCGAGGAAGGGAAGGAAAGGAAAAGGAAGGAAACGGAAGGAAAGGAAAAAGAAGGAACAGAAAGGAAGAGGTAAGTTATCATGATGTCAGCCGGACCTCGCATGGACCTCACCTGGACCTCGCCCAATTCCAGTGATGCTAAGGCAATGTGTTGATTGCTTGCGCGCTTGCCTTCTTGCTTGCCTTTTCTTTCTTTCTGACTTGCTTTGCTTGTGCTGCCAGTGCTGCTTCTGGCTTGCGGTAGTTTTTGGGCCACCTATATACATTGTGAAATGACTTATTGTGAGCACCTTGCTGTGACGGGGTCTTGGCGTCTGCTCCGCACGCCAAATAGGATTCCAACATCATGTTGTGACCAAGTTTTCATCCAGTCCCGGGTTTTGCGGAGTCCGCATTGTATGCGCTTCAAAGTTCCTGTGTGAATATGCCAATGTAGGCACTCTGGAATAAATCAATGGAAACATAAATCACACACATGTGCATGCTACACAATTACTAAGCAAGGTGCTGGCTGGTTTTCTCTCACAAAAGAGCTGTTGGTGGTTGCGTTTTTTTTTTCAAATTATGTTCTTTTTTTTTGGGAACAGGCATAGTGTAACAGATGATCCCTGGAGTGCCAGTATAGATCGGTAAGTGAAGAAAAATATCAAAGAGAGCATCGAATACAAGAGTAACTCCGTGTAAGGGAGCGTGAACCGCATCATCAGCCCTCATCATCAGGACTGCCTGTCCATATCCACTTCACATCACCACTTTGTACAATTCAATGGATTGGTTTAAGGGAAAATTTACAGGAAACCATCGATTTTCCCATTAAATGTGGGGCTTTCCTGTAAATTTTCCCTGAATCCAATCCATTGAACAATCAACCCCCCACGTCGTCACCAATTGCCGACTGACAGTTACAATGCGAGCGAAACTCTTCATTTTTTTGAGTAATCGTGCGAACTGTGCGTCCGTGGGGATTAAGATTTAACAAACCTATATACTGTGCGGAGGGTGCCGGTACATGCAGGAAGTGCGCACAGTGAAATTGAGGTGACACAGTGATTGTTCTGTCTGTTTGTTACGCGTGCTTTTGTTGAAACCTGCGCAAGGACAAGGAGGAACTGCTGCATCAATGGTGCCGCTTAAACGCTTTGGACACCTATTTTGCATACATTGTTTTGGGTTGGCCCTCATTACGTGTAAGGAAGATTGCCTTATCATGCGTTGCATTTCGAGCCACAAAGTTTACCAGACTCGATTCGCACACCAAAGATATCCAAAAATTGCATAACATCCTTCGAACGGAATAGAGGCATACCACACCAAACACATAATCTTCACAATGAAACGCAAAAAACCCAAACAAATATAACCCGTGGATACCCTTGGAATTTCGTTTAGAGAATCGGACAACCCGAGTTGTAAACACACTATCATTCTTTAGAAACTGATGGATTTGGCTCTCAAAAAAGACATGGTTTAGATTCTTTAGATAATCTTGCTTTGGAAGAGTATTCAGCCACGTGCAACCACCAAAAACATATTAGAATCCTGAAGAACCTCCAAAATCATCAAACCTTGTCAGGTGCTTTATAGGTGTGTGCGTGTGTATGCATCACTGCACACCGGAGTGTTTTGTTCTTACGCTAAGGAAGGCTTTACAACTTGTGCCCCCTGGGTTTCCTTCAGGCTTCATAGATATTGGGTGCACAAGGTGTTTGATTCTTTTAGCACTTTTCCGTATATCCTCCACACTGGTGTTTTGATTTTCCCAGGATTCTTTTGTACCCCCGAACGTCCTGAAAAGAATCCATGAGTCCAAGTTTGAGTCTGACTGGTATTTTTGCAACAGTGACAGTGACCGATGATGTATTTTCAGACATTTTCAGACAATGGTGTTTTTACAGCTTGTACCGGTGTTTTTTCTAACGGTTCACTGCTGTTCTTTGCAACAGTGATGTTCTTTGCAACAGTTGTCCGATGTTGTCCGGTGCGTTGTGCAACGGTTCCCGACCGTTCCCCGGTGTTTTTTGTTTGGCTAGTGTTTTTTTTGCAACGGAGGCCTCGTAGCAGTGGTGGTAGTAGATAGCAACGCGTAGTTTGTAGGTAGTATAGCCAGGTATTGGGTAGTAAGTGAGTAGTAGGTGGGTAGTAGGTGGGTAGTAGGTGGGTGGTAGGTGGGTGGTAGGTGGGTGGTAGGTGGGTGGTAGGAGGTAGCAGGTAGCAAGCGTATAGTGCTGCTGTTGCCTGTTGCGGTGTCCGTTTCGGTGGTGGGTTTGTTGTTCTGATGGTGCTGCACCCTCTTCCACAAGCGCCATGTACGAAAACTGATGCAAACTAGCAGTGGTGGTGGTGGTGGTGGAGGTGGTTGACTATAGTCCAAAATCCAGCGCGCAAGTTGTAGTCACTAGGAAGTATGTCGTGGGTAATTCGGTCTTGTATTATGCAACTGTATAATCACTACGAACCGCAACATATGTTTATTTTACACTACTGGTAACTTTATTACACCTACGACCGGTACTATATAGCTCTACTGCTTCTAGTGCTTGAACAACCTGCACGGAC